AATAATGATGTTATTCACAGAATGGAGCTGCACGCGCGTCCACCACCCTTGTCCCGGTACCGATCAGGAAGGTCATCGGGGCGGCGCTCGCACGACCAGAAAAGGTTATTATTCCTTTTCGAGAAGAGTAGAGAGAATGAACCCGAAACAAACACATATGCACTAGCATGGAGTCCCATAGCGAGACCTTGACGCCTGAGTTGGCGCGCCTCAACATCAACAGGCAAATCCGTCTAAGCATTAATTCGTAGCAGCTGTGACCTGTCCTGCCTCGAGCATTCCTTGACAAGATTCCTCAGACAAGGGTCAACGTAATTGGCAATGGCCAAGGTGCCAATTTGGGACACGAGATTTGAGATCTGGCGTGGGACAAGGGTATGTAAGACCAAGAGCCGCAACAATAACTAGGACCACCTTGGGGGGGTTTTTGTTTAAAAAAAAAAAAAAGAAAAAGGGTCGGCCCCGGTCAGGGAACAGGCCTCGAGGCCCCGTCCGTCGTCCGTCCGTCCCCTGCAAAGGTCGTGGGCCGGGGTTTGGTTCGTTTGTCTTTGGCTTCAATCTGGGCGGCGGGGAACTGAAAAAGCTTCTCTTGCGGCTGCCGTTCTTCGCCGCAGGGGGTCTCGCAGCTGCAGGGGTCAGATGCTACCTCGGGCAAAAAAAAAAACAATCCAGGGCCATGAAAAGATCCTCAAGCCCATGTGAGCTTCTGCTCCAGCACATCCTTCTATTGCAACAAAGATCTGATGATGGGATAGGTACCATCCGTGCTCGGTACGTGATAACCTGCTGGACACCTTCTGCAGCCGCCTGCATCGCGCATCTCGCATCTCGTGGTAGAAGCCCAGCCCATCTGGCATCTTGAACCGGTCTGCCACACCTAGTTACAATCCAGCAAACGTCGCCATTCCCTCTCCTCTCGCCGTCTTGTCTTCTTGCCCCTCCATTGCCGAAATCGCCGTATCGAGTCCCCTGTGCGAACTGGCGCTAAGATGCCCGGACCTTGAGCTCGTCTACGCTACTTCTGTCGTAGCGCAGCTGTCTTGGCTTGGCGACGCCAAAAGTGATATCATGGGATCCATCATCTAGCAAACCAACTGATGCGAAAGAAAAAAAGGGTTTGTGTGCTTCTCGGACGAACAGCGCCCAGTCGGCAAGCGGGCCACCTCTCCAGCTCTGCTACTTGTTTCAGAGCCATACGCAACAAGTTCGAGAACAAAAAAGCTAAAAGTAAGACGAAGCAAAGTCGGTTGCTGATCAACCATCATGACTCCACCGGGAGCGTCGGTACCAGGTAGATGCGAACTTGTGAAAATACCGGCTAGCTGGGTGGCCGTGGAATCCAAACAAGGTATCAATTTATGCCGGACCCGGTGTTCTCGTAACCATATCCTAGGACCAGCGAAGGCGTCTCCATTGCAAAGGATACTTCGTACACCGTGCACAACGGCTGTGCAACAGCTGACCGAACCAAGCCTGAGGTTATTCGCAGCAGCGCCTCCCTTACGGCAGGATGAGCATGCAACGGATGGATACGCGGGAGCTCAAAATGTCGCCGCACATCCCTAAAAAAAGATGTCGTATCGAGATATCTCAAAGAGGAATAGAACGCCCCATAGGAAAAGCTCTCCGGACGGCCGCTGTTGGCAAATAAATGGCTGGCACCGAGACACTCAGGCCGCAGGTATGGCTGATCACTTGGTCAGCAGGAGAGATGCTGCCCGCACAGAATTTAGCCGAGTAGCGGGCACGATGTGAGCCGGCAAGGTTCCCTCCCGTCGGTGAATTGGCTGGACTGGTGTTGATTAGTGTAGCGCTATTCCGTACACTAAACTATAACACTGGTGCGAAGTGTGTTGCGTGGCTGAAGCAAGGCAAGGCTATAATATTGTGATTCTATCGCTGAAAGCGACCAGTTGCTTGAGAATATATCTCGTACTGGTTTTCTTGAGTCCTCTGTTGCAGTGCGCAATGTATCTCCGTCCGGAACTCGTAGGCGCGATACTTATAGACCGTGGTGCTATTTCCAAGTGGTGAAAAGCGAGAAAAAAAAGACGTTGGCAGGCATATGTAGTGCTAGATCGTGCGGCATCTCTTCAGACGTGACCTGGGCATGGGTAGAGGCGGCCCCTGGTCGATGAGTTTATTATTCATGTGTGCTGTAGCCCAGGTTGTTGACGTCGTCGCTGCCACCCCTCCCCTCCGGTCTTGGCCGCTGAGCATCCCGCTCCGCTTCCGAGTCCACTGTCTGCTGGGTTTCGGACGGGGACGGGCAGTCGCCGAGGTCGTCGTTGGGGCCTTGGGGACTAATAACACATCTGGTATTATTTCGTCAGCCAAGACGGAGATGCGGCAGGCGAAAAAGGTCGTTCGTAGACGAGGCCATGGTAACGTGGATGCAGCTAGTTAGCGGTGCTTGGGCATGGCGGGCGGGCTAGCTAGGTCGTCACTAACTCACCAGGCCGTTGCTGTGATGGATTTGGCGTCCAAGCCGAGTTGCTTGTGCCTCCCATATTTGCGGTGCGGTACAGTGTGTGTGTGTGTGTGTGTGTATGTTGTGCGTATTGTGCCTCTCTCTGCATGCATATTCTATTTTTGGGCCACAAGCTTGTTGGTGTGCCGTGTGGGGCTGCGACAAGAGGAGCGACGGTGCAGAGGACTGGTGTCGCCTCGCTCGCCGCCCAGCCCACAGGTTCGCAGGCCTGAGGGAGAGAGACATGGGGAAAGGAAAAAATTCGGAAATGGGCATCTCCTCGCGCCAGAATGCCGTGTGAGCGTCGGGCCTCGCCACAGCCCCAGTGGGCACCCGGCGGGCAGTTACAACACACAATATCAGTCCATGCTATCATGCCCTCCTTGTGATGCTTTTCATGGCTGATACCCGAAACACAATGCGCTGGTAATGACATTTCTTGACCGGTACTAGGACGCAAGTTCTGCGGTTACTGGGCTGTCGGCTCGGGGACAAATTTTGCTCTCGCCACCGGAGACCATCATATGGTTCGGGCGATCTTTTCGCCTTCTTTCGCCTCTTCTTTTGTGAATGGCACCAGCGAAGAAAAGGCTTGGCGTGATGAAGAGCGTAGGAGTCTGCTATTGCCGGCCTGTGTGGGCCGCCACAAACAGTTGGCCACTGCTAGTCGTCTGGCCCCCAGCTAACGACCCGAATCGACTTACTCCTAGTGTCGACCATGCTTCATTGTCCGTCACGGGAGTCAATCCAGCGCTGGAACCCTCCTCCCTGTCTTTTCCTTGACGGGGGTAAGTTGGTGTGCTAACCGCGGCTTAGCTTTGGTGTTTTCTCTCTTGCGACTCAAACCCCTTTTTTTAGAGCCCCCATTTGGATGAGGGATCTCGCGATCAAAGGAATCAAGGTAATGCGGAGGCGCAGCATGTTTGACCCTCCATTCCCGTCCATACGAGGAACATCAAGGTTTAGCTGTTCGCCAATAGACGCGCTCCAAACAGTGTAAGTGACGATGTTCCTGACCCCTTTTCGAGCTTCTCGCTTGCGATGACATGTCACCCCCTGGCTGTCGCTCTGGCCTGACCCCCTTGCATCTGTGATGCCAAAGCTTCGGGAAGTCGAGGAAAGAGTGTAAACCGAGGCTTTGTTTGCCAGTTCTAGTACTGCGACTACCCTGCAACCTAATTGGTGTTGGTGTATGCAAGATTTGGACGTAAAATTCGATTTGTAGAGAAGAAGAAGAGGAGCATCGTAACCTAGGTGACTACTGCAATTGTGATTTAAAAGAATCCTGCCGGAGTGGTAACAAGAGGCTGGAAAGACTCGCTCGAGGGCAACTGTGACGGCGTAATCAGATCGAGCTACAACGAAGCAATGCTGAGCACAAATGACGTCTAGTTCACCTAAGACAATCTCCACGTGTCTAGCGGCTCGTGAGCAATGGCAAGAAGCCAACACATCGATTGGTTCGCCGACTTGTAAGCACAAATGCTGCTCCTGCTGCTTCGGGCATGTGGTGGTACGAAAGCGGGCAAGACTTGGGTTGGGGTAGCAGTGCCGAGGGTGTGGGTGAAGTGGAGGGGGAATATATCGAGGAGAGACCAAATATGAGAACGTAGAGATAAGGTAGGCTAAAAGCGAGCCAAAAAAATTGTTTGTAAGAAATCATCTGTAGTTATGTGAAAGCCGGACAAGAAGGCGAGCAAACGGGCAAAGGTGGGGGCTTGGTCGGTGTGGTTTTCGGCACGCGAGGCTCGGGCAGGGTGGGTGTGGACTTGAGCCGCCTGGTTGGGATTAGCAGTTGGAGTTGGAGTTGAGTTTTGTTACTTTACCTATTCAGGTGATGGTGGCTGTGGTGGTGTTGATGGTAGTTGGTGGTTGGTGGTGTTGGTGGTGATGGGTGCATGTGTAGAGTTATTTTTATCTCGCCTTGCTCTTTACCTAGGACCAACGAGGCTAGTCGCTCGTCGTCTACAGTGGGCGGGCAGTCGAGTTGGAGAAGTGGCGGGCAGGCAGTCTTGTCAGTTTGACCCGCATTGGACATGTGCGTCATTCGGAGTGTGGGATTCTCGAGGAATAGACAGCAACAACGACAAGGGCTTTGTAATAAATTATGATAGCGAGGGGTATGGGCTATAATGACGAGTCTTTTTCACTTTTTAATCGGATTGTTGTTCTTTTTGCTCTAGTACTGTCTGTATTGTATGCTTGGAGTCTGCTGGGTTCAAGGCTGTTAAGAGACGGGGTGACCGCAGCCGTCTTTGAGACTTGGTACAAAATCCAGCTAGATGGGGCCAGCCAGATATGGTCTGAGGGATGCAGAAACATGGTGCAGATATCACCTCGACTCGAGCGACGGAGCAGGATCTGACAAGATGAAGATGGAGAGTATTCATTTTAGATTCTCAAGCAATAAGAGATAAAACGAATGATACACGAATCATTTCATATCCTTTTTTACTTCCCATTGTCCACTGTTCGCTTCTATTTTGGAGACGAGCTGGTCTTGGCCGATATTACCAGAGGTATCCGTACAATGCCCTGGTAGGCTGGTCCGCAGCGCGCCTGTTACAAAAGGACCACTTGACTGGGTGCCCTGTCGGTCAGACAGAGGAACCGGAGACGACACTTTTTCTTTTTGTCTTCTTTTTATTCAACCATTTATTTTATAGGCCAACTGATAGTCCCCGCCCAAAAAGAGCGTCGGGTCCACTACTGGCAGCCCGACACACACCCCTCCCCCCTCCCCTCTCTCAAGCCCCTCAAGCCCCTCAAGCCCCTCAAGCACGCCCTGCTGGGCTGCTCGGGCTGGCTGGCTGGACAATGCAGCAAGCCAGCGCTGTGCAAGGTTTCCCGCCGTCGTCACAGCGCCCTTTACAACAGTACAACACAGAAGGGCGGCATCCGCTGAAGCAAAAGCAACAGCTGCTGCTGCAGCCTCCAGCAGCCTGGAGGTAGGACAGCGCATCTGCGGGCCTGCCTGCACTGTATTTTCTACCGAACCAGTAATACAGCCGTCGATTCGTCGCCTGCTTACCAGCCCAACCTGCCAAGACACCCCTCTTTATCTCACCTCCCTGCACCCATTTACTGGTACTCCGTACTAAGTTATCTTATTGTCCAGCACTTTGCCAGACACTTTTGCACACCCAAACAACCACTGGCACCACTGGCACCCACCACACACATCCAGTTACCCACCGCCAACCCCAAACGCACACTGCCCACCTGCCGCCTGCCACAACCACCACCACCACCACCCACCCACCACACTCAACAATACACCACCACCAAGGCCGCCTCCACTGTTTCTATTTAACAATCCTCATCCCCCCATCCTCTTCCTCCAACCTCACCTTACATCCCATCATAACCATCATCAACATCTCTTGGCTCACACCTTCGCTTTTTTCTTCTCCCACCTTCGCTCCCCTACTCTCGCTCTTAGGAAGTCCTCGTTGACTCCTGTCATTCGCTTATTAGTGTCCTGTTTTGTTGTCTGCGCTTGTTGCCCATCCTCCAACGCCCAACTTTTCTCCTCTCCGCCGCTGTTGCCGTCTTGAACTACCATTTCCTCAAAACGACTCGATTCAGCTCCTCTACCGCCTCGAAAATACACTCGCTTGCCTGTCTGTCTCGCAGCCGACCCTCTCCACCACCAGAAAAGCAACAAAGTCAATTCCGCCTCCACAGGAACGCCACTCCACGACCACCTGCACTCCACTCGTGTCCGTCTGTTCCTGTCGCCTTCTAGATGCATATCTAAACATTCACCATCCCGTAACTCTTCTATTCAACTCCGCTCCTCCCGCACTGCAACATTGTCAACAATCCACAGCCTACTTTGCTGGGCACGTTGATTCCATAACCCGCAACAACCGACTTCAAGTCACTTACGATCGCTACCGCCTTTTTTTCTTTTTGCAAGAAGCTGGACTCTTTCCCGCCATATAGCAACTAGTTCAGAGATTCATCTCTGATCATTCTCGACAGTTTTTGTTCTCTACTCTGTTGACTTGTTTTTTATTATCCGTGTCCATCTGCTCCGAAACTCGGCCACGGCACGTCCCACACCGTCAAAGCCGGGTCTTACCACTTTCGCTTCTCGACCACAGCTTTGTTGCCTGTGGTTTGATATCTACGTGTGTATTCCTGTCCGCCTTTACCTCTATTAGGTACTGACAATATCAGGCCTCTCGCTTTACGAGTTTCACCTCTCGACACAATGGCCGGCCCCGGTGGTGGTCCTCCTCGTCGCTCCCACACCAAGTCCCGCAAGGGCTGTGAAACCTGCAAACGCCGCCACATTCGCTGCGATGAGAGCTTCCCTCAGTGCCGCAACTGCACCAAGCACAAGATCCGCTGCCCCTACAATGATATGCAGGTCACTCCTGAGCCCGAGCGCGCTGCTACTCCCGACACACCTGATCTGATGTGGACACCTCATATCGAGGCCGACATTGCTGAATGGCGACGTACTGGTGTTTTCCCGTTCCCTGCTCTCGGTCTCTACCCGGCTCCTATGGCTCAGCTCTACTCGCTCCACGATCTCCGTCTCATCTACCACCTCGCCGCTCTCTATCAGCAGCTTGCTCGGATGGATGCCAACAACTTTACCCTCTGGACTCGCCATATCCCGACTCTTCTCCAGATTGGCGCCACCACACCTTACGTCATGCACGCTCTCCTCGCCTTTTCCGCCATGCACATTGCTTTTCTAACCGACTGCCGTCGTGTTAGCAACATGGCTTTTGAGCACCGAGGCATTGCCCTGAGCGGTCTGCATGCCGCCATTGGCTCCTTTTCTCGCGAGACCTCGGACGCCATCCTCGCCGCCTCTCTGGTTCTGTCCTGGCAGGCCAGTGACTGGCGCAGCTGGACCCAGCTCATGCAGGGCACTGCCACCGTCATTGACGCCATGGAAGGCTGGAAGCACGAGTCCCTCTTTACCGACTTCATCGCCGAAAGCTGCACATTCCCTACAGCTCCTGCCTCGCCCGATCCCGAACACCGTCCCAGCCAGCCGCGCAGGGATGATCTCGACGCTTTCCAGCGCACTCTGGACCAAGTTCAAAAAGTTGAGGACCATCTGCGCTTCCATGGAGAGGAGACTACCCAGATCCAGCACCTCATTGGTTTCCTCAAAGGTGCCCGAAAGATTACCCCTGCTCTGTCTATTGCCCAGCAGTACGAGCGTCTTCAGCCGCTCCGTACCTGGCTCTTTTGGATGCCCGTCGGTTACCTGCAGAATTACAGTGCCTCTGCCAACTCCCTCGTTGTCATTGCCCACCTCTACACTGTGGCCCTTCTGATGGAACGTCTCTTTCCTGAAATTGGCGCCGCCTACTTTGGTTCCCTCTCTATCCTGCCCGTCGAGGAGATTGCCCGCCGCCTGATGTCCATGAGCGTTGCCAATGGCCCCAGGAGCAGGAGCGCTCACACCCCCCTGACTCTGATGGAATTCCCCATTGACACCGTCAGCGAGTTCCGCTCTCGCATGGGCTGGGTCAACCCTGAGAGGACCCGCTCATTCCCCCAGTTCAACCCACCCAACTTTCCTGTTGCTACTGAGGAAGTTGCTATGGCTGCCGGAACCGAGTCATACCTGTACAACAGCCCTGCCTTTAGCTACAGCGCTGAGGAGATGCCCATGCTCAACAACCCCGTCTCTGTGCCTGCCGATGGTAGCCCCATGATGGTGTCTTCCCCCTTTGCTACTGGACACTATCTCAATGTTCCATCGCCCTCCTTTGTGGCCTACTCTCCCGCCTCATCCACCTTTGAGGGTTCCGTCGCCTACAGCGACCCCGAGGAATACTCGTCCTTTGACCTGCACAACTTCCAGACTGGTCACTCGCCCATGCTCGGTGATTCGCATCTCAACTATGGAGTCGGGTTCGTCACTCCCAACCAACCGGTGTGGATTTAAAGGTTCCTTCGCCCTTCACACCGGCGCCCTCTTTCTCGGCCATGACCATTTCGGATTGACGTTTTCTCTCTTCCTCAGGAACCCGAGCCCCTCTTTGGCCAGCCACATAGCTTATCCACCGCCTCACCAGGATGCTAGCTCCATGTACGCGCCGTCGGCCCTTGCTGGCGACATGTCCATATACAGCACAGATTCGTTTACGATGCTTCCACGCCCCGAGTCTCCAATGCCTTCGAGCAGCTCACCCGCACATTTTCGCCACCGCCAAAACACCTCTATCTCGTCCGCCCTGCACCCACCGTCACCTCTGGCTCAAGCACCTCTAGTGCCTGAGCAGGATCCAAAGGGCAAGGGAAGGGCGACTTGAGGCCCTCTGTTTTCCGCTCGATGCTTTTTGCATTTTATCGCTTTTTCTCTGCAACGCAACAATACCATGTACACCACACTCCTTCTACACTCGCTTACTACCGACTGCCTGGTTATACAACCAGCAAGGACATTCCTTTCGAGTTGATCTCGACCACACTCCTTACGATACCCACGGGGATGGACTTCACCCGACCTTCCTTAATACAATAATGATACCCAGCATTAGACACTCCTTATTCACGACCTTGTTACGACTATCACCAGCATAGATATATACATTCCTTCGAACCATCAGATACATGGACCAGCAAACACAGCATTTGATTTGAAGCAAGGCGATGGGAGTTTTTGATTTGATTTGATTTGATTTGATTTATTTGACCGAGAGTCAACCTGGACTAGGACTGTAATACGGGCTTGTTTGTTTTGATTTCAACCTGATCTGGGCTTGGTAAATTTGTTTATTAGGAATATTTGCTTTTGAATTGGGGCTATATAGCCAGACCAAAATGGGTTTATTTGATAATGACTTGATGACTTTGGGTCTCTTTCCATAGTAGCAGCTACGCCTGCAATAATCGAGCCGCGCTACGCCGTTTACATCTATTGCTGGCTTATTTTGTCAAAGTGACTTGTCTCTTTTCTCTCCTAATCCTGCCTGTCTGCCTATGATATATCTGCCGTGATGTCGTTGGGTTGACTAACCGATGCTGCCCAACTTCGTCTAGCCAGTAGCGCCGTTCATCACGACTATTTCCACTCGCCAGCTGAAAGGTGAAACGCACCAGTCGAAAGATTGAAGCTCTCGGCCCACGCAACGAGCGATGGAATGGTTTAGCGCCTGCTTGCCATTCTAAAAAGGCCGGACAAAAAGCAACGGCCCCTCTCGGCAAAGGAGGCGGGGGTGGAAGAAGAAGCTTCTTGCCCTGAAAAGTATATCGACGCCACGCGGCTACGGCAGGGATTGTATATACGACGGGTGTCTACACTTGGATAAGAACCCTGCCAGGCTAAACATGCCAGCGCGTGGGGGGAGGCGGCCGGCCGATGGAGCGAATGGAGCACTGGAGATGGCGGCCGTGAAGGTCCAGCTGCGCCTCCCTGGCATACGTACGCGCGTCCCGAACCCACCAAGGCCTTTTGTGTCTCTTATTACTCTTCAAGGAAGGGCGTGTGAAATCTTATTCGTCAACGGCCGAATAAAGCGCTACTCCACGTCGTTGAACGTTGTTTCAGATTGATGAGTCTATTGAAAATGCGGTTAAATCTTTTTTTTTTATAATTGGGCAGCTCCGCGGTGCTTGGCATGGGCGGGACTTTTTTGTCTAAACGACACCCTTTCTTGTTCTATTAGCTAGAGGAATGCTATTTTTAATCATTGGTCACCTGTCATGGTCGAAATCGGCCGTTTAATTTCATTTATACGAGTGTAGGAATTGGGGAATATCATACCAGCGGCAAGTAGACCTCTCGGCGTTGGCGACTGGAGTGGTTGGCCGAGTTTGGGTCATGATGACATGACGCCTCAACTGCAAACCTGTAAAAATAGATCATGGTGTAGGGATATACCGGGTTGCATGAGTTGTTTTTGCTCTCATTTGTCATGACTCGACGCATATGTACATTGAAACATTCCATGGTGACCGTGGGCGCTAAATTATATCAGAACTCGGTTGTAAAGTTCAACGATGGGCGTGCTGGAAAAGGGAAAGCTCACGCCCTCTCGTACGGACTATCTGTATTTGTCTGAATCTTTTCCTAGGTTGCTTTTCACTTTTAATGTGGTGCTCTGCGGAGACGGGCTTGAAAGCTTGCCGTAATGTGGTGGTCCATGTAAGGGGCTGCAGTGAAGTTGACGGGGCAAAGGTAGAGGCAATCGTGTAGCATGTAGAAGCAGATACGAGATTCTGAAAAGTTGATGATGTCGTAGAAGAATGTAATAATGGTATATTTGGCTCCTTGTACGGTTTCAATGTTGACTTGGATCAAAATTTATCAAAGACGAGAGAGGCATTATAACTAGAACACCTGAACCAGTTTTAGCTAGAACACCATCAGCACAGGGGTTCCAGAATACGGTAAGCAGCTCTACAGGTGAGAAAAAGGCCCGTAAAGAAACGATGAGAAGGGTTCAAAGTGTGCTGATCCGTGAGAAGTCATACGTGATCGTCTCCACGAACGATGACAAAAGCAACAACGCCATCAGCCGGTGCCACGCGACTACAATACGGCCAGAAGACCCAACCGACTCGGACCCAATCGAACGATAGACAAACAACAGCATCGTGAGCTGCGTATGTAATACACCATTTGCTCCAAACACTTGGCTTCGCGAGTTGGCCGTGTCCGCGCTGGATCGTCAAGCCCTAAGGAGCCAGACATCTGTCACCCTGGGTTGCGTATATCTTTCACAAGGGAACCCATCGGTTTTGGATGGCTTCAAGCCGCTACTTGGGAGCTGCACATATACCCTGATGTAGAACAAACACAAACGGCGACATGCATCGGCCCGATGGAAACGACAAACGCGCAGCTAGCAATGCGTTTGCACCTGAAGAAAACACCCGTCAGGCATGGCCCCATAATGTTGGTATCTGAAGATGTCACAATTTTCCATCTTGCATCCTCAAGCTCCGGATCGACGTGACGAGGTACGATGGATGCTGATTCTTTATTCAGCTTTATTCCCATTCACGAGGCTGCGGAGATATGGGCGCGACTCCACCATGTCTGCGGCCCTAACAATCTGGTGCTCTCGAGTGAGATCGGAGCCTTCAGTGCTAATTGCTGGGCGGAAGAACGCGGCCACAAGACCTTCGAAACGGCCCTCAGCCCCCTCCTTGAGAGGCTCAACCCGAGAAGCAAAGGTTACTGCAAGACACCCGATCAGTGGATCAACTACCAGAATGGTGCCTCGATTATGTTTACGTTGTACATCAGTACTGGGACTGAAACTGTGGTGCTGACACGGCCTCCGCCAGTACGACTGAGAGCGCGCTCGTCGTATAAAGAGCTTGAAGAGTGCTGGATTACTGCATGTTGTGAGAAGGACAAGTTCAAAATCTTTTTTGCGCATCCTTTAGTAAACGCGGCGCAAGACTACATCTACGAGTATTGGCCAGAGGACCATATCAATGCTTGGATGACGATGTATCCCGAGAGAGGAAAGCTGCAGAACCTAAATGTGCTTTGGGAAAGCACTGCGGAGCAGCCTACATACCGACCAAATGATCTCAGACAGATGAGAGACACTATTCTGAAAAAGCTGTATCTTCACACAACCGGAGCGTCTCTGTACTGGAACGGTCTAGTAAGTGTTGCTGGCTTGATCATTTCGTGGAGTTTCTCTGACATATTCTAGGCTCCAGCAACGCATTCGAAACCCCTGCATTTGGACGACGAAAGTTGCACGAGAACTGGGAGCAGGCCGCTGGCAGCGGCGACCGGGAACGAAAGCTCCGCGAAGAAACGAATTTTGTACATCGACGAAGCACACTCAAGATGTGACGAGCGGCAAATGAAGCCGACACGAGAAGAAAACAACGCCGAGAAACATAAACGTGACGAGAAAAAAAAACCGAAGATACAAGAGGAGAGGAACGAAGCAGTAGAGGGGCGACAAGATCAGAAGAAGAGAGCGAGAGGCGAGGGGAACAAAGGGAGCGTGGGCCTTACCGGCGCAAGGCCAAACCCGGGAAAGGCGAGAAAAGAAACACGGACAGACAAGGTCAGCAGAAGAGACTGAGAGACGAGGGGAACGAAGAGAGCAAGGGCCGTAACGGCGGAGGGCAAAAGCGGAGGAGAGGCATGGGGAAGATGGCGGACATAAAGGGGGAGAGATGAAAAGTGAAGGTTGACTAAGAGCCGAAAGAGATACGCGATTGGAAATGCAACAGAAACAAGGCAAAGGTGAAGAAGCAGACAGAACAGGGCTAGGCGAAAGGCTGAGGAAAGGGTGAGAGAAGAAGCGAGTCAGAGGTGGAGGAAAACTCGCCAGGGACTTCCGAGGTGGAAAGGATGAAGACTATGAAGAGTCATGGCACAACCGAGAAAAGGATAGAAAGAAAGGAAGAAGCTATGGGCTCGCAGATGTGGACGCAAAAGAATGACACTGTAGGATGACTGGTAGGATCAATGGAATTTATGTATTTCAAGTAGTAATAGCAATATTTCTTGCGCTACTCAATCCAACATGTACTGGGTACTAGTCACAATATAGTATTTATCTATGAGTATCAAAGTGTCTTGTTGTGAAGCAGCGCCCATTCATGCCACGTCATCGAGGCTTTCCGAAGTGGTTGACTCCAGAATGCCGCAAAGTCATACAAGTTGGGAGATTTGCCTCCAAGACTAGTAGTCATCGAGCCATGGCACTGCAGTCTCAGTACCATCCGTTAACCAACAGCCGTTCTATACATGACATCATAGCCATACCGTCGATAGCCACATCGGAAGCGTCCTCAGTAGGTAATGGTCACGGCCTGCCCCTCCGAGCCCATCGCCACATCATGCAACGTCTTCATGACTGCCGTTGCCGCCCTCTCTGGCAAGAACTCAATATCCATGAAGAAGACCCGATGGGTATTACAAATATACACACCCGGGATACACCCACACCCTGCCTCCCCCGCCATGCCGCGCTCCTCAATCCGCATCTTGGCTTCCGCAATCGCCGCCATGAGCCTGGCGTCCCAGATGCCCTCGCGCCGGGGCCGCTGCCGCAGCAGCGCCATGGCCTCCCTTCTGAGCGCGCCGTCGCGGCAGCTGCTGGCGACCATGAAGAGCGGCTCGCACACGGACGGCGAGAACGAGTACACGGGGCGTCGGTCCTCCAGGCGCAGCAGGGCCTCGTCGGCGACGAGGAGCCTGCGCGCCAGCCGGACGATGCGGCGAAACCGGCCGGCAAAGGCGTCCCAGGCCAGCTCGTACCGGCGCAGGTCGATGCGCGCGGCAATCTCGGCGCCGCAGAGCCAAATGTCCAGCACGAGCGCGCAGTCGAGGTCCGTCTGCCGCAGGCGCTGCGACCACTTGAGCTGCGCAAACTTGACCTTCCACGCCGACAGCGCGTGGCGGTACGGCTGCCGCAGGTCCGGCACCGGCGCCGCCGCCGCCGTTGCAGTCCGCCGCACCTTTTCGCTGCGCACCGCCGTCAGCAGCCCGCCCACCAGCCGCTGCAGCTCAAAGCACGCCTCCGTCGCGGAGCTGAACGGCGCCACGGGCACCGCTCTCGGCAGCGCGCCGCGCCGCAGAATCGGCGGCCGCGCGCCCGTCCACATGTACTGCACCTCGAAGCCGTCGACCAGGCCGACGAGCGACTTGGGCGGCAGCAGGGCAGCCGACGCCGTCGTCGTCGGCTGCGCCGCCTCCATCTTCTCCACAAACTGCCACTGCCGCGCGACGCGCAGCCCGTGGCTCGCGTGCAGCATGGCCTCGCGGGGGTCGCCGCGCAGACTGCTGAGCCCGGTGAAGAGCACGCTCGCCATGAGCAGCACCTCGGCCGCGGCCGCGTCCTGGCCGCGCGGCGCCAGGGCCACGAGGTGCGCAATGGCCGCGTTGTACTGCCGCAGCGCAAAGTGGTAGTGGTCCCGGCGGAGGGTCTTCTGCGCGCGCATGTCGTCGTCGTCGTCCGTCTCGAACCACGCGTACATGGCGGCCATGGCGAGGCTGGCGTGCCAGAGCGCCGGCTGCGTCTGCGCGGCCAGCAGCACGTCGACGTGCCAAAAGGGCTGGTAAAAGGCGCCGGCGACCTGCGTCACCGTCCGGGTGCGGAAGAGGTCGAACATGGCCCGCTCGGGCGCCGTCGCCTGCCCGTAGAGCGGCGTGAGGGCGTGCAGGCCGTGCTGGGACGGGAGGACGGCGGTGGGCGGCTCGGGGGCGGTTTCGAAGCCGTCGCACTGGCGGCCGGTTGAGATGCACTTTGTGCACGCGGGACGACCTTCGTCGCACTTGACGCGGCGGATGCTGTAGGAGAGGCTGTCAGTAAGCGTGTGCTAGCCCAGCAAGACGAAGCCGGATAGCTGGGGGGGGAGGGGCGGCGATGGAAGCTCGTGAGACTCACCGGCAGGTAATGCAGCCAGTCTTGACCTTGGGGGTCCAGCGACGTTGACGCGGTTTCTGCGCGGGCTTGTTGGTCCGTGCCAGAGCGAAGCCAACCTCGGGGGAGCCGCCTCCAATCTGGTCGACGCTGCGGTATACTCTCTGGCGCTCCATGTTGAAGCACGGGTTTACATGGATTCAAATGACGAAGTAAAGCACGAGAGCGGCCGGGGCAGGCGGCGGGGTTTCGCAGGCGGCGACCCCCAGTATATCACCAAGTGGTCAAGGTGGAATTCCCAACTCGCTGGGTCTATGCGGCTTTCGGGCGCGAAGCCAAAGATACGCTGAAAGCTGACCGAGCTGAAGCGGGCAGCCTTGTGCAGTTGCCTCGGGCTGATGTCGGTGTTGCAGGCCAAGCCGTCCACGTTTAGTGCCGACAGAATACGGCTGTGCAAGAGATCAGAGTCTAGCAAGGGCGCGGATCGGAACAAGGAATGAAGGCATGAGTGGAAGTAGCACCCCGCTGCGGAGAGACGAGATAGCAGCGAATATGAGGTGAGGGTTTGAGGTGGTTTGGCGCCAGGCTGGGGGAAGTCCGCGGGGGGGAGGAAGCCGATCACCTTGGAGATGACAGGGCCGGAGAGAAGACGGGACCAATCAAGAAGCGGAAGAAGCGTTCGGTGGAGTGTTGCTTTTGATTGTCCTAAATGGGGATATTTTCTGACGTGAAGCCGCCGGCGTACTGCAATCCCGGGATGGAAATCTCACCCCAGCAGAGAGCGAGCCCAGAGCCGTGCTGTCGCTTTTTTCGGAGCAACCTGTTTCTGATACGCCAGCAACTATACAAACTAGAACTCCAGTCTGTCTGGGCTTGTACAATTTCATTCTTTGCTGTCTTCGCCTGGTTTGCGGGTGAATCTGTGACTTGGTTCTAGATGACCGACAAGCCAGCCGAGGCCAAAGGCAGTAAGCAGGAATCTGACAGTCTCCGCACCCGACAACCGGCCAGGGTTTACCAAGTCTTTTTACATGTACGGATTTGTGCGAGGAAGAACCATTCTGATAAAATTTATTTGTAAATGAAAATAGATTGACTAGAAGTGTGGCCGAATGTGATTGCGGGCCGTGGAAACTCCAACACGTAAAAGCCCAGGTTGAAAAACGAAAAGAGAAACCTGTGCGTCGGTTGACGCCAAAATTACGCTACCAGAGCGGACACCATATGAATCGAAATAAAGCAGCAAGGAAGGAAAGTAAACGTCAACCAAATAACGCCAGACTCCAGAAGAACACACGCAGGATGCTGCGGACCTGACAGCCCACCCCAATGATGAACTATCCGTAAACGCCAATTCGATGCAGAGAGAAGAAGCCCAGGAACAGAAGAGCGGTAGAACAAGACCCCTGTAACGCATTAGAATCCCATAGAAGCCAGTAATCCCGGTCAACTAGAAAACAAATGACCCGGTCCATGAACCCCAAACGCCAAAGATATGCAGGACACACAAGCAGAGCATATTCCCCATCGTATCAGATCCGACTATCAGTAGAAAACCACCGTGTTTCCCATCCATCGCAAGGGAAAACCAATCACTGCTCGTCGGGAAGCACGAAGCGCACTCTCTTGACCGGCGCGGCCTCGTCTCCCGTCCCCCGTCTCGCTCCGAAGCGACCGCGCGTCTCGCTCATGGTCAGCAGCTGCTCCTCCGTCTCCTCCTTAATGGACCAGACGTCGGCGCTCGGCTCGCGCCAGAGGTGGCCGGGTCTGCTCACGCGGGGCGGGCCATCGCGGCGCGTTGGGGTCCGGCACCCGCGAAGCGATGCGGCGGCGGACGCCGGTGCCGAGACAGAGCGGGCGACGGGGGGGCTCCGCGCGCAAAAGCCAAACGGGTAGCCGCGCGGCACGGCCAGGCTGCGCGGTGGCGGCGGCGGCGGCGGCGAGGGGGAGGAGCGCACGTCGTCGTCGTAGTCGTCGTCGTCAGACGTCAGCCCGTCCGAGTCAAACTCGGGAGACGCGGCGCCGGCGCGGCGCAGGCGGCGCAGGCCGTCGAGCGTCGAGGGGCTGACGCTGCGGACCCAGTCCTGCGGGGGCCGCCCGGCGACCTCGATGCCGGCGTCAAAGTCGGCAGCGTCGTCGTCGTCATCGGAGGAGAGCATGTCGGTGTCGTCGTCGTCGGCGTGGTGCGGGGTGAGGAAGTAGGTGAGAGGGTCCTCGTCAATGTCGTCGAGCAGCGGGCGCGGCTCCGTGCTCTTGGCCGAGTGGGAGCGGACGAGGCGCAGCTGGGTCGGCGGCCAGGACTGCCGATGGGAGCGCGTGGCGGCGGGTGAGGAGGGCATGGTTTGTATGTGAATATGGGAGGGGTAGTGTCTGAGGGGATAATGCGGATTATGAGCCAGGGAGCTGGTGTAAGTTGGTGATGCTGTAGTGGTGATGTTTAGGGGGGCGTTTTCGCCCCTGCGAAGGTGGGCTGCAGACAAAGAAGCAATATACGTAGGATCCCTCACAATCGAGACAACAAGGTAAACCTTGTCTCGTCCAGAACAAAGAAGACTACGGATTTGTCGAGGAAAGGCGGGAGCCAACGAGTGCATATATACCCTTCTGAGCGGAGAGGCAGGGCAGGCAGCCGTCGACAACCCTTTTGGGGGCACATCTCAAGATGTGGCACATGCAAGCCTCCTCGCGAGCCACATTAGTGACTCCCCAGAACTGATGAGTCCCTTTTGCAGAGAGCGGAGCGAGCGAGGACAGCCTGACCAGCCAATGTGAGTCGACGGCGAGGACAGAAAACGCAACCTCGAGTTGCGGCAACCGGTCGTCATCAGCAGCCATCGATGGGGGGGCGTGTGGGCAGCCTGCATGGTCATGTTACCCCCCCAAGTTCTCATGATAAATCGAACGCCACGATGTGTGTAACCGTGTCAAATACCATGTACTTGTCTGCCTGGGGCGGACAAAACGTGGGCCAGCCCGGCCGTGCCGTGGGTTATTGAGTGGAAGAAGGCTGTCCCAAGAAAACATGGCGTCGCCAAGCAAGGCAGTTGCAGAAGACTTGAGGTAGATGGGCAAGATCAAAAATAAAAAATGACGGATAACATCAGATGCAGCAAAAGGGCATTCCTTCGGAATCATGACCAGGTTATCTCGCAGGCACGTAACCCGCTGCGAGTGCAACGCTGCGACTCGCCGCACCGCATTGTGCCATCGGCCGCAGCTGCGATAGGAGCTTTTTGGGCGACATCACCACCATCCATGTACTTGTCGCCGGGGGGGAGGAGGGCATTTTTGCAACTGCCGACAACTTTGTCACATTGCCTTTCTCTCTCTCTGGCTCACAACGGTGAGGGCAAGAAGGGCTGAGAATGGGCTGGGGAGGGCGTCGTCTGCCTAGTTGGGAGAGGCTGGCGCGGGCGTTGCGCGCTCTTTTGGCTCGCGTGTGTCGCAAGTACTATGTAGTTAACTAACAGGTAGTTAGTTCATCTTTTCCAGTTTGTTCAATTTTGCCCCAAAGTAGAGCACAAATGTGTGCCAAAAGGGAGGCTGTGCTGTGTGGGTAACTAGAGAAAGAGAACCACAAGAATAGAAAACGCGGCTGCCTAGTATTGTGCACACTGGTTTTCAAGACAAGATGGAGGCAATAGGGGGACAGATACGCAAGACCAATGACGAAACGAACGTCGCGTATTCCCTGCGCCACGCCACGGGCTTGGACAGAATGACCACGGGTCATGCAAGGGACGAACCCTCTTGACAGGTGAGCACAGCACAAAGAGACTCCCGAGCCGAAGGAGCCGGATTCGTCATTCACAAGAGCTGACACCACCTTCTTTTCACAATTGCCCAGTCTTTTTTTCCTGTTTCTTGCGGCCGATGTGAGTAGAGGAAAGGGCGCCCGTAGAACGGCAATCCAATGCAAGCGGCCGATGAACCGCGTGCGTGACCAAGGCCCATGGGCGCGCACGGTGATGGCGGCCGGAGACGTTGTACAATGTCCAAGTGCAAAGGGAGAAGTTGATCATATGGCTACATAAAAGGGTTGGCCATGAGAAAAAAAAGTAGACGATGGTGGTGTGGTGGTGGTGGTCTGTCTCAGCGATTGATACGAAACAACAGCCAGTGAGGATGCAGAAACAGGTCTACAGCCTGTTTTAGCGACCTGTTAGTTGGACTACTAGTAGGTAGTAGGTAGGGCCCTGATTAGCGCGCCGTCCGCTGCAGGTGCTCCTTAAAAAACCCCTCCGTGCTATAATTCCGCTATAACTCTCCCAGTTGTAACTTACCTGTACACAGTAGTTAGCGGGCCAAAGCCCTCAATTGGCCCGCCATTGCCCGCCATCGTTGCAGCCTCCGATGCGCTAACAAAGTCATCTGCACCGCCATGCGCCACCCCTAACCTGTCCGCTGAACCGGCCCCCTCCCCCCCCCCAGCCAAGCTGAACGAGGGGGGAAGCATTTCGTCTCTGCAACGACGAAAAGAGAGTTTTGCACTAGATGTATCTTTTTTTGATCACGGCCCGTTACCGTCCTATGTATCCCATCCATCCGTGTGCGTGTGGAGAGAGATGGACGAGAACTGCGGTGCGACTGTGACGGTACCGCCACACCCCCCGCAGCCCATCCATCACCAAAACTTACACCCAGTGCAACCCCGGACCAACCCAACCGTTCATGCACGCAGCGGACTAGTTTACGGAAAATGCAAGACATCTCTCGGTCGCGCTGTTCCTCTTCATCCTAGCCAACCTGCAGCGGGAATCGAGTTGATGGATGATAATAGGGAAGCATGGCTCTTCTCCTCCCCACCCACCCAGGCTATGGACTACCTGAACCCCATGACTACCAAGTTCACCTCATTGTCGGTTGCGGGCCCTATTGGACTGCGAGCTCAGAACCGCCATTGACACGGATACAACGAGCTAACATGGCCAGTATGATCCGTGGTGGTGTGCATGGCCCATGTCGTCATGCTGCTGCCCTGCCCCCAAACTGGGTGTAAGTGAGTGGCCTGCAAAGGCGCCGGGGCGGGCTGCGTGAGGGCCCGGCTGCGCCCGCTTGGCACGCGTACCAGAGCATGAATATTGCGGCTCATGATGCGTGCTGGCGTTGCGTTGCCTCTGGTCGGCATTGAAGGCGGGCGTCATTCGTCGTATTGTTTGGCATCAGCGGGAGGCACGACGCGCAATCATGGCGTACATGGCAGATGTAATATGTAGATCTGCGTATTGGCATGTATAGAAGCGTATGATAGGGCCGCTGTTATACTGGTAGCAGTCCAGATGGTGGCAATTCCCGCGCTTTCTGATCACTTCAGACCATTCCACCCCGAGAATGTTGAATCAGCTCACAGTGTCTGCGGGCCGACGGTACTCTCGCTCTTCCACTGTGGTGGGAATTCCGTATCTCTCGTCTACGTCAAGGTAGAATGAACACTGAGCGTCTTTCTTGTGGACAAAAGGATTGTTTGTGCAGGCAGCGATGACATGTTCAATTAACATAGTGACTTGGCGACCTTTTTCGGAAGCCATTCCAGCTCGTCATCAGCTCGTCAGCAGATCTGGTAATCTACAGCGAGCAGTTTTGCCATGAAGTAAGCCAGTATTTCTCTCACGAATCGTAGCAAATCGTATGAATATGTCAGAGCAAGCCCATATTGTATTGCCGGATATGATATTGCGCTGGAACCGTGAGTTGGCGACGCGACCAGACTTCGCAGTCCAAGAGCCTCTACCGACACTGTCCGCGAATTTTCTTCGTGACTGGTACTTGAACATCCCATCAAAGAGATTCGTTAAGTAAGTTGTGACGGTTCCTGTAGTCTAAGTAGTATAAATGAAATGTTTACCATTCATCGCATGATTGGGTTTTGCAAGACGGCTGCAGAATGACTTACAACCCTTAGCCCTGCCCGCACAGGAACTCTGGAAATATCCCGAGCACAATACCATATGCAAAACAACATGCATTTTCTCTTCTTCTTTTAATTTTCAAGAGTTTGCTGCAGATTGTTGGCATCCTACAATACCAAGGCTCATTTGGGTTGCCGGGTGGCATTGTAGTCAGGCATGTATTATAAAAAGATTCCTGGTGCACGGCGTTTTTGTATTTGAAAAGAGACATGTTTGATATTACGCTACAATGACAATAGTAACTCTCATGCATCTCTGCATTACGCTGTACCACTCGACTTAATTCCACCTTGAGGGACAGGCAAACGGGGCTCATTACTGATTACTGCTACCTCTCGGCGGCCGAGCGGGGACTGAGTTGTTTGCGCTTCTCGCAGCTGTTCAGACGCATTTCCCGCATTTCCCGCCATTCATCACCGCCCGCCCGCCGTTTGAACCCTCTATCAGGCTTCAGGCCAGATTGCTTGTTCTTTTCCTGTGCATCCCGCAGCACCAACTCGCCTCGTGTCATCTTCCACGCCATCTTCGCGCCGGCGCAGCACATCTCCACACGCGTCGCCTCCGCAACGACGTCAAGCCAAGGTGCACACGTGACGGACTTGCCATTGTTTGGCAAAGGACATTAGACTCGAGGGATTTTCTCCTCCTTCTCCCCTATCCTTACTTTCTGATGCCCCTTTCATCCTTGGCGGCGAAACGACGGTCGGCACGCAACTCGTATCCTTTCCAGCTCGCCCTGACCACCCTCCTCGCCCTGTTCGCCGCCCTCACCTGGCACCTCTACGCGACCCAGCGGCTCCCGTCCATCATGACGTCGCAAGACCTCGGCGGCAAGCCGAGCAGCTTCGTCTACGTCCCGCCCGTCGGCGCGGGCCAGGCGCAGCAACCGATCCCGACGGACTCGTCGCTGCACGTCGCCATTGACGCGCAGGGTACCACCACCACAAACACCATCACCATGCCCCTCCGTCTCCTCTCGTACAATGTGCGCTACGACAACCCGCACCCCATCACGGGCGAGCAGCCGTGGCGCGTGCGCGGGCCCAAACTCGCCACCCAGCTGCGCTTCCTCACCGAGGGCCACGACAACGCCTTTCTCTGCCTGCAGGAGTGTCTCCGCTCCCAGGTGGACGACATCCAGGCACGGCTGGGCGCGGGCTGGGCGCACATTGGCCGCGGCCGCGACGCGCGCGCCACCGACGGCGAGTTCTCGCCCGTCTACTACCGCGCCGCCGTGTGGAACTGCACGCACACGGAGACGCGCTGGCTGAGCGAGACGCCGCACACGCCGTCGCGCGGCTGGGACGCGGCGCTGAACCGCATCGTCACGATTGGCGAGTTCACCCACCGCGCGCGCGGGACCAAGGTCGTCGTCATGAGCACCCACTTTGACCACGTCGGGGTCCGGGCCCGCGAGAACAGCGCCCGCCTGCTGATTGCGATTGCGAGGGAGTGGAGCGGCCGCGCGGAGGGAGCGGCCGTCCTCGTCGGCGGCGACTTCAACAGCACGCCCGACGACGGCGCGTACAAGGTCATGGTGGCCGAGGGCTCCGGCATGTCCGACATTTCGGACCTCGTGGCCCCCGAGGACCGCTACGGGAACCACTTGACGTACACGAGCTTTGGCGAGCCCGGCGAGGGCCCGCAACGCATCGACTTTTTGTTCATCCAGGAGCCGCGCGCCGCCGTCATCAAGTCGTTTGGCGTCTTGCCCAACAGCTTCGACGACAAGGTGCGCCTCTCGGATCACCGGCCGGTGGTGGCGGACATGGATGTCCCGATTTAGACGTGCGCGCTTTTATAGATGTAAAATCAATCCCATGTACGACAGAGACTACGCCTGACAGAAAAAAACGAGGCCACGGCCCATGATAAGCAACGACAAAACTTGCAATTTGTTGGGCAGCACCCTTCTCGCCGGTCATACCATTGTGTAGGAGTGAAAAATGTGCATTGTCTGGCGACTGCCTGTGTAATCCTCACCGGTCCGTGTAACCCACCATATTGTCCGAGAGTCGCGCAGCGAGCCCCAAGTCGTTGTACCACAACGACGACGACGACGTCGGCAACGAGGGCGGGCCCTCTCGCGCCACCCTTCTCGACGTTGGGGGCGGCCCGCGGCAGGCGTTGTTGCTGGACAAAGGTCAACCGGCGAAGAGGGCAAACTTCGGCCTCCATGGTGGCGTTCCCTGCAACGCCGCAGCCCGCCATCGTCGTCGATGTCCGGGGGGGGTGCAGCAGCCGAAGCCTACAATCCCCCCCCAGCTCAGACATGGGGGTCTCGGCGAGGCAAGTTGTGGTGGTCGCGTTCCCGGTTTCTGGAACATGAGTGTGGTTTCACGACAGGAGGGCGCCGCCGGACAACTGCAAAGGTGTGGGCGGGTGGCGAGACAGCAAAAAGATCAATATAGGCGACATGGCATGGTTTATGCTCTGCTCTTCGTGTTTCCCCCCCCAAAGAAGTAGACGGGTTCGAGCATACACCGCTACTCGTGCGGCTTTGCGTAGAGACAATGTATCTTTTGCTTGGGGGGAAACGGTTAGCACCGGTTTGTCGAGTATACTGCGTGAGAGGTTGCTGGAGAGGAACCGCAACGAGACGGGTAGGCCGGCCCAATCTGCGGCCCGGCCGCTCAAGAGTGCCTCTGCATCAGCGTGTGGGTTGTGGCTACACCGGGAGAGCCAACCAAGGGAATAGAGCATCGACGAGTCAGCAGGCGTAAAACACGGGGGAGCGATGTGCACGATTGCTTTTTTCGACGTGTAAACTCTGTCGGCTGCTGAGTTGTTCGCGCTGCCAGAACGGAAGCCTCAAGGCCCCTGCATGGTCTGCGATGCCAATTGATCAACACAACTACGCGGCGCGCCGCTTCTCAACCGCAGTACAAACGTGTCAAGCTCTCGGCGAGTGGCAAGAAGTTCCAGGAATGGTTAAGAACACCGGGCGGTCTTGCAGAGGAAGAATGAGAGTGCTTTGCTGTCCAACTCTCGCGCCACCGATGGGCCTGCACGACGGTCCAAGTCGAGCAAAGCAGCAGCGTATTTTACTTTTTTTTTTCCTTTTCCTTTTCTTTTTCCTTACTGCGTTCCCAAACTGTTGAGACGCATGCATCAAAAAGAGCAGCAGAATGATTTACACAATGTTGTATTCCCTTGACGTGGCCCTGCTGCATTGATGATGAATAGATACACGTCTGGTGTTTCTGCGGCACGCACCAAACAGAGTCAAGTCATTCAGAGAAGAGCCGACCGGCAGCATGTATGTATACACGACCGTGACTAGTTTCCCATTAAGCATATCTTACAAGGGCAGGCCAAGATGGGTTGCATAAAGGTCGAGCTTTGGTTGTCGAGTCAGGGTTTTTTTCCAGCCAGCCACGGGAGAGCGAGCTGCTATGTACTTGAAACGGATAAGATAGGGGACGGCGGCGATACTACAATCATTACTCATCGCAGGGAAGGGGGAGGGGGGACGTAACCAGTGAAGTGCTTCAAGGTGACGCCACCTGATGCGCTGGCTAGGCGGGCAGAGGAGGCGAGCCTATGGCTGGGATTGTAGATATGGGGATACCGGGCGATGATGGAAGTTGGTGCCTGTCCCGCGTACGTGTAGTTTTGGCTAGCATTGTGTGATTCGGAGAATGCCGCCAGAAAATTCTCTAAACTTTGTTTGTTTCAATTTCTGGATATTTTCATGCCCATGGTTGTGTGGCAAAGGGGGGAAATGGGGGCAGAGAGGCATGAGAGTGGCATTTGGAGCAACTTGGAGGTGAAGAATGGTCACTGGACGGCCGAGGTTGCATCGGCAGCTATATGGGGTAGTTATGTGACGGGTGGCTGACGCGGTGCTGCGATGCAGACTAGATTCTGAGACGCCTTTTTTTTTTTGGTCATGAGTCAACGGTTCATGGCGTCTTCTATAAAAAAAAAAGAAAATTGAGCAAGATAAGGAATTAAAACAATTGTTGCTGACTGAGAAGCTGTTTGACCAAAGTGACGATGCAGCCAGCGACTGAGGTGTAAGCCGACTCCGCAGCCGACTCGAAGCCAAAAACGTCATGGGCCGGGGTAGTTAGGGTCTTGGCTACTAGTACTTATAGGATGATTGACAAGTCCGAGTCGGGGGGGGCTGCGGTATTTCGGGACTGAGCTTGATGATTGCTCAATGAGTGAAATAGGAAACAAGGTGATGAGACAATGTCAGCTCCGCTTTGGGGCAAGATGGACATTTGTCGTCTTTGCGCCGTCGACGACGCAATCGTCGAGGACCCGTCTTGTAGTTGGAAAGAGGGGAAGAAGCAAGCTAACTCAAAGGTGTTTGGACCCGGCAAGACGCAAAGCCGGCCGGAACGTCGTTGGCAAAAGAAGCTTTTTTGGAGGGGGGGCAAGACCCCCAAAAACCCTGAGCGAGATTTCGGGTTTTTTTATTTCTCGGTTGCTTTCCCCACAGTTGGGCTTCCATTGGGAAAACTTGTCAAGAAGGCTGGTTAAGCAAAACGCGCAGATAAAGGAAAAAAAAGAAAAAGAGAAAAGAATTCGTGGCTGGTTGAGCAATGAATAGTATTACAAGTATTACATCATGGGCAGAGAAAAAACAAAGTCGGCTGGCCGTGGCAAAAAGTCGTGGGGGCGGTGTCTGCTTTCATGCTGCAGATGGCCTGATGTACATGCGCCAACAAGAACAAGGCGGCTCGGTGAGGCTAACACGAGTAGTTACAGATTCACACCACGAGTTTGACACAAGACGGGCGAGCCAGAGTCCAGTGACTTGATCCGGGGGAAGGCCCCTCGTTGCTTGATTGATGGTGGAGGGTTGTGTGGGGGGACATGTTCTGTAGAATGCACGAGAACGAGGTCACTGGGCCTGGAAGGATGCCAATGAGGATGACGATGGCTTGCTCTTTTCGCTGGAGTTTTCTTGATTTTTTTTTTCGTTCCTCACCCGGCCGGTTGGGCTGCGAGATTGGTGATGCCACTGCTGCGAGATGCTGTACTCCATAACCAAGGAGAGGGGTGTGGCTCGGCACCGGAGGCGGCGGTATCGATCAAGTTTGAACGAGAATTTTTTTTCTTTTAAAGTAGATACGTAATGGGCGCTCCCGGTTCTTTGTTCCACGGACTGTATTCTTTCTTGGTCCTCGGACAGGACCGGCGGATGGGGAAAACGATTGAACAATTTTCATGTTGGGCACGATTGCACTTTTTGGTGAGAGCAGGCCGGACGGGTTCCACTTTGGGTCGACAAGTGACTTGACACATTGGATCGACATTGCGCCAAAGAAGCCTGGTTATTGGCTGTTGACGCATGAAATGGAATAAAAATTTGAATTTCAGGAAAATTGGTACTGCTGACGTAATGCAGTGTTGGCCACGGATGATACAAACGAGTTACTTCTCTACAAATTACTTGCCCATCTGTTGCTCGACTGCTACCGTTTCAACGTTTTGTTTTTCCCTCGCATTTGATGTCGCTTTTCCATCCCATAACCAGTGTGCGGGATTGAAAAAAGAGCGTCTGGAAAACCCGGGACGAGCCGTTCGTTCGACCAAGAGGGCCAGCAACGGCCGCTAGTAAGCCCGTGACGGAAGCCAATTTCCCACCTTGTCGTTCCTGTCGCTCTCAGACAGGATAGAAATGCAGATTATAACTACTTGTTTCTTTCTCTCCCCTCATAACTAAACTCGCCACGGCTGCTCTTGTAACGAAGAGTGTATACTTGTCCCTTGTTGAGACCGCCGCAGCCTGAAATGAGTTGGGCAGGCAGTCGAAGAGGGAGGGTCCCCGCCGCCACCAGCCTTGGGGGGACCAATTCCCCCCCAGTCCAAAACGGCGAGTCAAAAAAAAGGGCAGTCTCTCACTCATCAAGTGTAATAATCTGTATTCCTCTTTTTCTTTGCAGGCCATTTTCTTACTGGCTGAATTGTTCCCTAGAAAACACGTTTGTCATTGCCCTGCCCCCTGCCGCCCCCACCTGCGTCTGTTTGCTGCGCTGGCAACTCTGTGCGCTCAATGTCCTTGCGAATACCTGGCAACCATCCCCCCCCCTCTTGCACCACAGGCCCGGTTGCCCTGTGTGTCTTATGCCTGCAGGCTATTAACTTATCAACTCGTTTCCTTTGTTAAATGTCCGTCGAGGTTCACGACACATTCACGTAGATATTCAGGGGCATTCACACTTGGAGACCGCAGGAACAACAATAACGTGTGCATCCTTCTGCTCGAGCAGCCATGACCGCCCCGGTTGCTGTGCTACCACGGGATGTGTCGGTCATTGATGGCCCAGCAAGGCACCGTTTGATGGCAGCCCAAGAAGCTACGTATACACCCGTAATTGAAGCTTTTTTTTTTTCCATTATTATCCGTACTCGGGCAGAATCTTTTTTTGAAAAGAGAAAAATCAATAAAAAATTCGGCTCCTATTCCGGACCTTGTTATCGTGTGCGCCCGCCACGACTTCTCTTTCTTCTTCGCCTTCCTCGACAAAGCTCCTCTTATACGGCCCCCTCGACGTTTCACGACAGTGACGAGGCGTGTCCGGGCCGAGGTCGCCGTGCGAATCGCAACGGACACGATGGCAACAGAAGGGAGCAAATGAGATTTTGTTTTTTCTTATTTCATCTCTCGTTCGTTTCTACTCTGGTGGTGGGTGGTGGTGACTGTGTGTCCGGCATCTGGCTGCAGTAGTGCCCGGGCCTGCATGAGCTTGTGGCAGAGACATGCAGCAATCGAGGCAAAGTCAGTGTACATGGTTTGTACTTTTTTTTCTTCTTCTTCTTCGTCCTGGGGCGGCATTCCGAGCTCAGAGTCCGTACTTGCGGCCTCTACCGCAAACTGCCCTGTGGTGCTTGTACCGGGGCCAACAACTGGCGCGCGCATCGCAGGCCCGGCAAGCAGTGACTGTCCCAAATCAAATACCCAGCTGCCGACTGCCTCATAGACCGGGGACGCTAAGGTATCTCGGCAGCGGGTGAATTAGCTTGTAGGTAGGCACTAGTACTTGATGGTCAAATCCATGGCCATGTAGCTGGTACTTTGTTCGTTCCCGGCGCCGTGACGCTACAACGGGCCCGGTGGCCAGGTAACTGCGCCATCATTCACCTCACCTCGCGGCCTCAACTCTCTCAAGTATCTGTACCGAGTAATTACCAGTAACTACATACCTAATTATGTCGTCCGCCTGGTAACCAGTTACTGTGCCACCTCCCGCTGTCATTACGACAGTTACCATGACATCTGCCCATTCGCCATTCACGCATCAGACCACCTTTGCCTGGTAAATAATAAGCATCGTCATCCAACCCCGTGCACGGCTTGTTTTGCGCCTACCTTGGTAGCCACGGAATTGATAGCAAATGTCATGTTGCTGCTGGTGATGGATACCGTAGGTACCTAGCTTCTTCCTCACCTGCCCACCACCACCCAAGTACCCCGTCTCTCTTGGGCTCGTCTACCTACCTAGGTACATAGGTAGGTAGGTACTTAACTACCACGGCCGCTGGTAAACCGTTGACCTGTCTGCTGGTACTCGGTACAACTCATCGACGGCGGCGCCCCAATCTAGCGCCATTGCAGCCGTTGCTACGTCGTCGTCGTCGTCGTCGTCTGTATCGCGTCCCGTCCTCTTGACTGCCAGCTGCCTTGCTTTGCGACCCTATTTATTCTTCTTCTTCTTCTTCTTGCTGCTTTTATCCCCTCACTCAACCACCTCGTCTCTAACTAGTCTTCTACCCTTCCCCTCTTCTCACATCCCCCCCCCTGCCACCTCTGCTGCCCAGCTGGCCTCGTCTCGCCGTCCTCTCCCTCCTGGCACCCTTGGTCTTCGTGCCCGACCCCACTCAGCCCACGCCCACCTCAACCCGCTTTGGCGGGCGGCTTGCCCCAGCTCTCCTCTCACGTCCCGTCCCTTCCCTTTCCTTTTTTTTTTCTTCCCATTTATTCGCCTGCCAAACCTGCGCTGAGCTGCCTCGCTACTTACTAGTACACACCTGTCTGCTCCTCTTTTTTGGCCCTCCCATTTTATTTTTATTTTGCCGCTATTCCTCTCCTGCCCTCTCGTCACCGCCCATCGTCCACCTTTTGCGATTTGGTCTTTTTTCTGACTCTTAATCGCTCGGCCGCCAAAGTCAACCTTTTCATCGATCAACCTCACTTTTTGCCTACCTGCGTCTTGTTCGAATAATAGCTATTACTCCTGCGCATCACCATACGCACTCAAATACCTCGCCATAGTCGTTTTGCTCAACTCTACCACCATCGACTGGGGAGACCGTTTCCCCCCCTCCCAGGCGCTGCCTGACCTCAAGCGTCTCGACGCTCCTCAACCTTTTCCTCGCCATGGCTCCCGAGCGCGGCACCTATGCGGCATATTGCGAAGATGCCAACGAGGACACTGGCAGCTCCGTCGAGGGTACCAGAAACTATGCCCTCCACGACGAGATGCCCCCGCCCAAGAACCGTCCCAATGTTGGCACTAGGATAATGACCGGCTCCTCCAAACGCGCCAGCTTGAACGAATCCGACACGGTCCGCTCCTCCGCCAAGGGCCACAGAGATTCAGATGCCCGCCGCGACAGGCCTCGCCCTGCCGACCCTCGCCGCTCTTCCCAGCAGTACGACGACAGTGATCGCGAGCGCGAACACCAACGCATTCGACAGGAGAGAAAGATCCGCGAGTCCGACGCCCGCCGCTCTCACGGCCACTCCCCCAAGGAATCTTCCAAGAAAACGAGGCCAACCGTCCAGCACGGTCCTCCTCTGCCTATTCCACGCGGTGTCGCCGATGAGTTCCCGCGCTACGCCTATCAGCAGCCCGCCGTTTCCTCTTCTCGCCCTCGCCCAGCTTCCAGGTCCGCCACATACTATGATGGACAGCCCTACCCTCCACCTCCGCCCGCCGGCATGGTCTGGCATCATCCTCCTTTCCCACCTGGTCACTTCCCTCCTGGCCCTCTTGTCCATCCTGGCCATCCTGGCCACCCTGGTCATCCCATGCACTTTCCACCTCCCATGCATGACATGCCTCCTCGGGGTATGCCTCCGCCCTCGCCTATGGGCATGGCCCCCCCTGGCTACTTTGTCGGTCCTCCGCATCCCGGCTATAGCGACCACCTCAAGGCTAGGTTCGAAGCAAGACCTCCCTCCGCCATGGGCGCTTTGGGTGGCCCTGAGCGCGTCCCTCCTGGCTATAGCCCGGATGAGTACGGTGATGAGACGGCCGCTCACGTCATGCGTCGTCCCTCGCGTCCATCCAGAGGTGAAGACCGTAGGATGATGCCGCCTCCTGAACGCATGCCCCAGCGCGCCATGTCGGCTGCTCCTCAGCACAGCGGCCCCTACCGTCCACCCCCTGGCCGTCCTCAGGTAAGCCAGCAGCCTCGCCGCCCATCCGTCAACAGGCACTCGGTCAGCTTTGGCGATGACGACTACGACGACTATGAGGCCAGCAATGAGCTATTCCAGGACTTGTCTCCGGAGCCCTCTTATCGCCAGCGGCGCTACGCGGAACCGGCACGGCCAAGGCGTGGCTCTCGCGTCTACGAAAGCGTCGACATCATCCCAGCTGGTCGCCGCAACCGCAAAGTCCCGGCCTATGGTGACGTAGCCTACAGTGGCCCCCCTCGCGCCGCCGCCAAATACGAAACACGGTACGCAGATGCCAAGATTCAGGATGCTCAAGATTATCAGGATGCCGTCACTGGGCCCAAGACGCCACTCACCACCGAGATGCTGCAAAAGGCAACTCGAGGTAACACTGGCAGTCAGTCCACGCGCAGTAGCGGCAGCCGCGATGATAGTGAGTATCGTCGCAGCTACACCACGGGCATCACACGCTCATCATCCGGAAACGGCACAGAAGAAGTTACCATTAAATTTGGCGAGGCCGAACTGAAATTCCGAGGCGGAGCAGACTTTACCTTTAATTCTCGACCCCAGCCGCCGCAGATTCGATCTGGTAGTGACAAGTCCAGCACTGTCTATCAGCTCGAGGATGGCCGCGAGCAAGAGCGAGAGCCACCACGTATGACTACTCTTCCCCATCGGACTCGTGCACCAAGCCACTCGGAATACCGACCTCGTGGATACCCGTCTGGAACTTACTCGCCCTATGAGCACTATGCCGAACCAGGCAGCTACATCTAATGACGCCGGGCGCGCGACCTTTTGACGACTGACATTGACGACCATTTAATGACGACACGACACATTTTGCATCATGACAACATGAGCCCTGACTACGACAGACGAAGACATTTACGACATGCAAGCTCTTCTCCCAATCTACCCGTCTTTTCTTTGCTTTGCTTTTCTTTCTTTTTCTTTCAGCTCCTTTCCAATTTTTCTGTTCAGCGTTGTTTGCTCCTGCTTGTACTCTGTTGTCCTTGTTGCTAGGCAGTCTGGTTGATGCCGTGCCAAGTGAAGCAGTTATGATACCCACACCTAATTACCGAGGACGTTATTTGGAGTGTATAATGGAGCTTGGCAGTTGTTTCTCTAGATTGTTGGATCGGGAGTACTGTTGCGGCGGCGGGGTCTGTCTGCCGCCTCTCATTTTCTTTCAGTTCCTTTCCTACTTGTACTGGCCCTGTGGTGCTTGTTTGTTCAGCAGATTCCGAGCTACGTCAGCCCATGCTGGCGTTTGTGGCGGAGTATTTTCTTGTATGATGAGAGCTGGGAGCGGTTGCACGGCCTTGCCCTGTGCGAGGCGGTTGCTGCGCACCCGGAATGTGTTGAACACTTGCTTTCATTTGTTTGTCGCTGCAACAGCACATCGCCATATTATAGACTGTACAGGCGGACGGGGTTCGCGCCTCTTTACCGTGTGCCTGCAGAGATGATGGCTGGTTCCGGCCGGCCCCCATCATTTTGAGGGCATTTTTCTTTGGTTTCGTTTGTGTGTGCTACGGGTTAGACAAATGCTTTTTCCTTGTTATTCCTCTTTCCTTTCCTTGGCTCACGTTTTTCCTTGGTTCGAAAAAGGTTACGGCATACTACAGCAAAAAGATTGGAGCGACATTGAGCGAAGGGACCTATGACAGATGACAGCAATAAGACTGATAATATCCTGTGCGCCACGGGCATTTTGGAGAGGGACTTGTTGAAGTGACTTGTGACGTTATTGCCTGGTTTTGGTGGTGACAGAGTGTTGCCCGGTCAGAGATAAGACCCACTGTCGGTTGTTTACTTTGAGCGTCACAAGGCGTCGCCTTAGAGATGCGTCATAGGCAACATGCAGTGCAGCGATCAAAATAATTAGATATTTGCATGAATGCAGCTAATATCTAATTAAGTTTGTTACCGTCTATTAATTGTATTGTTTGTTCTTACTCTTGGGCCCGGCAACGCTGTTTGGGAGCGGTTCTTCGTATCCCGGCCCAACCTCGCTACATACATGCGTGCAGGCAGTGCCACAGCCCAGCCACCCCATGCTCGTTCCCGTAGGAACAACGGCATCCTCGCTGCCGGGCCTTTCCTTCTCCTGCACACTGTTCATTCTTGCATCACTCTAAGCACCAGTCATTTCCCTCACGAGTCTCCCGTCTTACGCAAATCCAACAATCAACGATTTCTTTCCGTCATTTCAGCCACGAAGCGTCTTTTTGAGCCTGTGGAGCCAGTCGTTCCTCATTCACACAGACATTCCTCGCATCTGGATTACCTTGTCGTTGAATTCGAGAAGAGAGACCCGCATTCCACGACATCTCTCGCCTCTGCACATCTCTTATTACCCCAACCGACCGGCCACCTCCTCACCGAGGCCTGAGACACCATGGCGCCGGTCCTGCCGCCACTGCTCCGGCGGGCGTTTGCCGCCGTCACAGCGGCGCCTCTCCCCTCGGCAACGGTCCCCTCGGGCGCGTCTGACGGCCCTCTTGGTGACGCGACACGGCTGCACGCGGCGCGGAGCCCGAGCAGCACCACCAAGCAGGACCCGTCGGCGGGCGTGCTGGACCCTCACGACATCTCCAACGTGGGCTTCTTTGTGCTCTTTGCGCTGCTGGGCGTGACGTTTGTCGTGGGCGGCATCTGGTTCTTCTTTTGGGCGCGCAACGGCGGGTTCCACTTTAAGCAAAACGACTGGGAGGACTACAAGACGGCGGTGCTGCGCCGGCGCGGCCCCAACGGCACGCTGCTGTCGGGCGCGACCAAGTCGACGGATCTGGGCGGCGGCAGCGTGTACAAGGACGTGGCGGACGACGGCAAGACGACGATTACGGAGAGCACGGGCCTGAGCGGCATCACGGCGGGCGCGAGCGATATTGCGGCGCGCGAGAAGCGCGAGGAGAAGCGCAGGAAGCGCCAGCGCGAGCGTGAGCAGCGCAAAAACGAAAAGAAGTCAAAGAAGCCCAGCGAGGTCAGCAACAGCAAAAGCAGCAGCGCTGGCGAGTACGATGAGAAGAAGCACAAGAGACGCGTCGGCGGCGACGGCGAGGTCCAGGACGAGGCGGCGGAGCTCAAGGCCCGCGACGAGCTGCGCAACTACCGCCACGAAAAGGCGGCCAGGGTCGGCGGCTTGAACAAGCAGTCGGAGGGCTCGTCGTGGGACGGCTCGAACCCGACTACCAGCCACACGGGGACCGAGTCGGAGCTGCTCCCCAACAAGCAGAGCACCCCGACGAGCACCCCAACAAAGGACAAGAAGCGCAGCGGTGCAGCTGGCGCTATCCGCAAGGTGTATTCGACGACGGATCGGGAGCCGGAAAAGAGCCGCCCCGAGCCCAAACGGATCAAGGACGAAGGCCGTAGCACGCACCGCCGGGAATTCTCGTTTCAGGCTTCGGATAGCTTACTGTCGGGCACCGCCGAGGGCAGCGGCAGCGGCAGCAGGAGTGAAGCGACGAGTGCCCAGGGCAGCGAGTTGGGCACCAAGAGCTATCACCACTCGCGACCGGAGATTTCGAGGGTGCAGAGAGAGAGGGAGAGGGAGGAGCGCAGGGCTAGACGCGGAGGGTACAGACGTGGACAAGGAGACGACGAGCTTTGAATGGGTCAACGCTGCTGCAAGGTGGAAGAAGGAATGGAATCATGGCCCGCACGATGATTGCCCTTGTGGGATGTGGTCATTTGGGATGGATAATACGAGCCATGACGCGACAAACCAGATTGATACATGTAGAGTAGCAATGGATATTAATGTCTTTGAATTGAGTTTCAACTATTGACATTCATTTACATCCACGCTGTTTAAAATGTTGTCAAGCGTGAATTCCTTAATTTCTTAGCTTGATTAATATCCTTTCATTTACGCTACAATACGTAACTGACATTCTGGTCTCATTAGTAACAGCCATATTTCCCGGAAAAGCAAAGTCCAGCAAGCCGTCCATCACCAAGTCTTGGGGCCAAACGTCTCACCATCCGCCAGAGGTCGGATAATAGCCGTGTCCGTGACATCCATTGTATTCAGGGCGCCGACGGATCCCCACCAGGGCGTCATCTCGGTGCCCGTCAGGCTGAGGGTCAAGAAGATGAGAATGGTGCAGAGGGCGAGGCCAACGTCGAGACCGGCCGAGGTGACGTAGTTGAACTGCATCCACCAGCCGCGGTACTTGTTGCGGAGGTACTTGTTGAACAGGAAGCCGACCCAGGCCCAGGAGAGGTAGTTGAGGGCCGTGGCGGGGGGGATCATGCCGCTGCCGCCAAAGATGATGGGCCAGTTGACGAAGCGCACCATGGAGCGCGGGTAGCGGCGCAAAAAGACCCATGTCACGGCCGGGCAGAGGGCACCGACGAGGAAGAACCAGAGCAAGGGGGAGTACAGGGCGCCGACGCCAAACATGCGCTGGGCGCCAATGACGCCCCAGATGACCGAGGCGTTGAAGTACACTTTGGCGCCCGGGCAGGTAAAGTGGTTCTCCTGCTTGGAGTCGCAGATGCCGGAAATGGCGCCCAGAGCCCAGTTCAAGACGGCAATCTGGACAATCGAGGACCAGACCACGGCGACCGTCTGGCCCATGAAGACCGTCTTTGGCGGCACCTTCATGTACAGGGCCATCTTCATGTCGCTGACAAAGGCCAGACCTTGGTACAGGGCATTGTACCCGTACGCTTTGAAGAGCATGTTGGCGACGGGGCGGCCCTGGAGCATATAACTGGCCATAAACTCGGTCAGGACGTTGAGGCCCATCTGGACATTGGTGGCGCCCTGGATGATGCCCGCTGGCAGGATAAAGAGCCAGGCAAGCACCATGGCGATGATGTAGGCCCACGCGGGCATGTGTGTATCGTAGCCCAGAGTGGTTCCGAGGCCCAGGGCAAAGATGACCAGGAATAAAACGGCGTACCACCAGAAGGGAACGGGATCGTACTTGGCGTACATTCTGGTGTGCACGTCCTCGTCATCCTTGCCCATGGTTGTTAGACGAAGCCAAATTTCCTTGCCGTGATTGAGAATCGTATGGACGACCAGAGCAGAAATGGCGGCAAAGGAAACGCCATAGGCCATGGTAAAAGTGGCAGAGAGAAAGAGTGGCGAATATGCCTTGTACTTTGCCATGTCGAGCTCGTAGTCTGGCGTAAGCACTCGGCTGACATTGTACGGGTTGGCAGTGTTGTCGTAGCTCGCTGAGTCGCTGATAGGGAGGTAGAGGTTGTAAAAGGTGTTTGTGTAGTGAATGCCAATATTGGTTATCATCATAAAGACGACAACACCGACTGTGGTATTGGCAATGGCGTGCCAGGGGAAAATTAGCGGCGAGGTGGTGTAACCGCTAATTTGCGTCCAGTCAAAAGTGATGGGGATCAGGGAGATGCCGGTCCAGCCGCCAAAGAGCTGGTTGATGACGGGGCTCTGCGGCTTGATCCAGGTGACAAAGGCAAAGACGCTGAGGAATGGCGCAATAAATCCGGGGAACCAGTACCATACAAACGAACCGAGGCAGACGTAGGAGAACCAGCGGTAGCGGCCGATGGACCAGCCGTTGGTCTTGGCGGGGTCGGAAGGCGAGTGGTCGTGGAGGGCGTAGAAGAGCGACGTGTTGATGAGGTTGCTCGGCCAGATCATGGCGGCGGGCTCAATGAGATAGCGACGGAAGAGGCCAGCCATGCCGAAGCCGCACATGGATATAGTAAAGGTGAGAAGAAGCTGGAAGCCCCCTAGATTCCTGTCATTAGACTTGCATGGCTTCCGTGGCTTGAAGTAAAGGAAACTTACAGCCAAAATCCTGCTTATAAAACTGTTTCATGGCCAGGAGAATATCAGTGCTATACGCCGCGCCGCCGCCGAAGCTGACATTGGCCATGATGACCACGAGGGTGTGCTCTTTTTTATTCCACGGCCCAGGGTTCAGGTTGAACCCGCTGCCGAATACAGTGAACCGGCGGTCCGGCATGACCCTGGTCCAGGCAAGGCCGACCGGGTGGCAGAGCAGCTGGGCGACGTACGTGGTGATGATGATGGACGGGGCGCGCATGCTGAACAGCATGTTGAGGCCTGAGCCGAGCGTGGTGAAGAGCAGGCCAATGACCCATGCGCGGACCGTGTTGGCCGGCACGTCGTCGTCGTAGTTGCGCACGGCGGCGCGGACCTCGGGGTACGGCGAGTCCTCGAGGACATGGGCGACTTCGGTGAGCACGGCCTTGGGGTTGGACGAGGCCAGCGCCATGGCCACGTCGTCGATGAAGTCGTCGGGCAGGTTGGGGTCGTGCAGGTGGTGCAGCTGGACGGCGCGCAGCTGGGCCTGAGCTTCCAGCTGGGACATGTCGCCGACGGCGTGGCTCCCGGCACTGCCGTCGCTCGAGTGCTTCTTCTCCATGCCGGTCTGTGTGTTGGTCGCACGTGTTGAAGGATTCCGTTTGACCGCTAGGGGTGTCTGCGTCACAATGGGGAGATCAAGGGTCGGGGATCAGGTGGGTTGTCGCTGATCTATATAGCATGGACCAACCAGCAGGTAGGACCGCGCTTCCCATGGTTGACAGCGAAGATAGGACAAAAGGACCCTGTAATACCACCCACCCTTGCACAATCGGCAGGTGCATTTCTGTCATGTTGAAGCTGAAAGGCGACAAAGACAAAAGGACGTGGGGAAAAAATGGGCGAGGGTCCGGAGTGGGCTAGTCGTTGTCTGTCAGCACCGCAAATCTCCGTTGGCCGGCAATAGCGGCAGAGCAAAACAGTAGGTGGCGTAAAAGATTAGGGAGATTGATGGGATTGATGGGTCCTGGGATTGGTGGCGCCGCGGGCCGAATAGGGGGGCAAGGGTTCCTCGGCGCTGTAAAGGAACTTTTGGGTGAAAGGCTGACAGTCTGTATGTGCTAGGAATAGGTAGGTAGGTACTCTTTATTAATTACTTAACCCGAGGTAGGCTGCTGATAAGCACATGACCACTGTGATGAAGTTGTTATCGCAATATGGCAGGGCCTTGCATTCTCTCTAGCAGGCGTCAGTGATCCCACTGGAAATACAGCGGCCCCAACGCCTCCTCTAGGCGGGTTTTCGATCTGTGGTTTCGATCGACTTGGCGTCTGGAGCCTATAGGTACCCAGTTCATCAATTCCAGACCAACCTCAAAAATAATCTCTTGCTATCATGGCTATCATGGCTGCACCAAAAGTCAGTGGATTGGGACTCGACACCCCCCCTCCTCTACACCTACAGAGATACCACAGGTGACCAATACGCAAGCTTCTAGAAATCCTTCTTTGCAAAAGTTCTATTCCTTCGGACCGCGGCACAACCTCCATTGCCATTTAAACGAGCACGCGCCATCTTTCCATTGTCGGACCCATTCCATCCCCCACATCAGGTTGCCCATTATGCCCGGAACCGGAGCCGACCATTGCTTCTGTCACGCTGCCCAGCCAACAATTACTCCAGTAATCGTCCCCACGTTATATTGCATACTATTTATTATCTATTATCTGTAAATGGTATTGGCAGCCGTAGCGCTCTATAATACAAGGGGCCTATAACTATTCGCTTAGATTGCTGACTGCATTTTTGCACACTGGCCCTCGCGACTTAGGCTTGCGGCTGCCGGTTCGGATCCTGCAACCGTGCCAGTTCGAGCATCAGTCTATACACGTACACGGCCATGTCTTCCTTGCGCAGCGCCTTGCCGTGCCAGTCCTGGCCCTTGCCCGCCATCTCCTCGGCCCGCCGCTGGCCCGACGCCGTCGACGTGAGGTACAGGACGAGCTCCGGCAGCTCCTCCAGGCTCTGGCTGACGGGCACGTAGTGCACCCACGGCACGAGCCGCTCGTCGTGCCACTCGCGGAGCAGCGTCTGCTTGAGCGGCAGCGACTTGGACGCCAGCAGCTTGTAGTAGCGCCCGCTGATGCCGTTGCCGTCCAGGTCAAACACTAGCCGCGACTGCAGCGCCGCGTCCTTGTCCGCCCACGCCCCCGGCGGGAAGAATCCTCGCTGCGCCCGGCACTGCCGCCTGAGGCACTGCATGATGCGCGTAAACCCCACGTCGTACAGCCGCCCGTTCAGAAACGACGACGCCACGCGCTCCACCGTCTCGTCCTTTTGCTGCAGGTAGTAGTACTGCTCCCGCCCGAGGTTCTGCGCAAACTGCACGAACCGCTGCCGGTGGTAGGCGCGCCAGCCGTCGTCGTGCGCAAACGCCCCCGAGGTCGAGCCCGCCCAGTACAGGTTGTTGGTCTTTTCGAAAAAGTCGGGCTCCGAGTCCGAGTCGTACACACAAACTCTGCTTCGAGGTACGCCGGACTGGGTATCAAGATGTCGTCCATTGTTGAAGGGGCCCCGGTGGACAGAATGGGCACCATGGCTTCGGTTAGTCGAAAAGAGGAGGGGCTCAGGAAAAGGCCATGCAGGTGCTCGTACTCTGGGTGCCGGCAGATGTCCGTGGCGGAAGCTGCATCCTTGATAAAGGGTAGTGCGAATGATTCTCTCTCGTCCTTTGCGAGCGAGTTTTCGACTTGACGAGCCGCGCACCCCTGCGTAATATTCGCCCACGTTGGCTGGTGAGACAGGTCGGTGACTCGCACGTCCATTGTCTTCTCGCTCGGAAGCAGCACGGTTGGCTCGTCGAGATGGTTGACCAGAAACCTGACGTCAGGCAGTTCAGCGCCGGCGAATTTGCCGACGGCTTCGAACAAGGAGGAAATGTGTCGGTCATACGAGCGATGCTTGTGATTGCATCGAGCCCTCGCCTCGGTACGGTCGTATTGGCATGACCAAATCTCACTTCCCTCTGCATAAAAGGCAGCATCCATGATCCGCTGCAGCTCGGCGCCACTCACCTTGAGAAACGGCGCGACCTGCTTGTAGATCAAGTCAAACTCGTCGATAATGGGCGATTCGTGCGCAACGGCAAAGTTATACCAAGCTTCGAACCCGGGCGGAGGGTCCATCTTGTACCGCCGACGGTACTCAGCCTGCGCTTCTTCCAAAGATTTCGACTGTCGATGCAGCAGGCCGTTGAACTGCGCATTGGCCCCGTGCATCAGAATATCCACGGGATGCTCCCGGTTTCCGCCAAAGGTACGCTGTACGGCGTGTTCGGCGTGTCGAATCGCAACAATGTTGGCCCCGTAGGGAATCAGAGCCACCAGCATGAATACCCAAAGGCGGGATCGTGACTTGGCGCGACTGGTCAGCGTGCTGACTACCTGGCCAAGCGAGAGCGCAGACAATGAGATGTGCAACAGAGGCCGAAAGGCGGTCGACTGAAAAAAGGGGCTTTGTCCGGCCATGAGGGTAAATACCCCCATGGGCGGGAGAGCTGTCCATGAAGCATCTCGGGTCTATACAGTCAGTAAGTGGAGTGATGACCGACGCTGACATTGTAGCTTACTAGCTGTATGGCGAAAAACCAAGTCAGGCACTTGAAAACGGCGGCAGCGAGAGTTCTCAACCAGGATCCCGTAGTGAGACCAAAGACGAGAGTCTGTATGATAAATACCGAGGCAACGCCCAGAACAACATATTTTGACAGCTGCTCGATGTTGTCTTCAATCCTAACGTGCGGCATCGTGCCCGATTTTTGCCGCCTCTGGGGCAAGAGCGTCATGTAGGCCACTGAAATGGATACCAGCGCCACACTCGCATATATGAACTTTTCCATATTCCATACAAAGAGGTCTAGAATAGTCATGGCAGCAACCAGACTAGCGGGAACAAGAGAGGTTAAAAAGGGCGATGCCGAGCCGGAGCTGCCTCGTGTCGCCTCCGCCCCGTCCACCCGCATATACCGTTGCGCCGCCAGAAGAATGGGAACCAGCGCCGGCTGTAGATGGTCAGTATCAGCAAGTCTCCCGTCTTCAGTCTCGAGTAGCGTACATAGAAGCGACAGCTACCGTTTTCCGCCCTGCAAAACGACGCCGCCGCAATGCCCGCCGCAAACAGCACAGCACCGGCGACTCCCCTGCGCGACGTCGCCGCGGTGCTCGCCGCCGCCAGAGGCGCAATCTCATCCTGGGCCCGTCTCCGGGCTGCCCTCACCAGCGCCGGCAGCAGGACCCAGGCGAGGCCCTCGGACAGCAGCTCCGTCTGGCGCGTGAGCAGGCGCTGGGTGAGCAGCTCGCAGAGCAGCGTCGCCGCCGCAAAGGCGACCGCGCGGTCCTGGCTTCTCGATGCTAATTGAGCCATGAGGGTAGAAACATGATGGAGGTGTTGCGTCTAGGAAAATCGGACAGTAGCAGGCTGGGCGAGGGCGCGACTTGGCCGATGCACAAGCTTGATTGCCTAACATGGCCGCGTTGTCATGTGACTCGCCCTCTCGGAATGCCCTCGGTCGACCTATTTTTAAGCTTAGTTTCAAGGGGGTATGGGGTCAATTACAGGGGGTTAGGGGACCATGTTAGTGCACGACCTGTTCGGGTGGTTTTTAGCGCTTCAAGGCTCAGCCTTGGGCGTCATCGCAGCGATCTGGGTACGAATTAACGTTGACATCTTGGGTTTGTGCGTTGAAACGGAAGTTTTGAGATTTTTGGCCTACTCGTTTACCAAAAAAGCAAAAGCCAATGAGCTGGTTACACTGTTGGTCACAAGCCTTCAGGCAATAAAGTGACATGTCGACACTGGGCAACATGTGAAGCAATAGAACCCTGGGCGGCGAAAACACCAGTCATGTTAAGGTTTGGACAATGGCAAAAGACTGATGGATCAAGCTGCATTGAATTTATGTTGCGTCATCCGAGGGTAGTCTGATTTGCTGACTTGCCTTGACCAACCATCCTGCTGCAACCAGGCCCCTGTCCCGCCTCCATTAGCATACCAACCACATGGTTTGCCATCGTTTCATCTAAGCGTCCATGAACGATATACCAGTCTTTCGAATCCGCAAAAAAGAAATCGCATTAATCACCATTTAAAATATCAAGGTACCGCGCTGCGAGCCTTCCTCATGGACACCGGCTCTAGGGACCGACGCTCATGCTTCCTCGGCGGCGCCGCAAGCCAGCCGGATGAGCAACTCGCCTACCCTGCGCCGACGCGTCCATGTCGAAAAACGTAAAGATATAGTTCTCTTGAGCAAGGCGATCTGACTACCCGTCGTAATACCCACCTCAATCAAGCCTCGTCTATCTAGGCTAACCGTTCTTGACTTGCGCCTAAATTACACCTAACCACAACCCCCCAACCCATGCCGCAGCGAATCCTCACTTCGGCGGCGGTCTCGCCGGCCTGCAGCGCCACAAAGCCCCCGACCTCCGCCGCCATCCGTGCGCAAGGCTACCGCATCCACATCTCCGGCACTGCCGGCTCGGGTGTTCGCCAGCTTTGAAGCTTGTTGAACAGTACTCGAGGTCCCATTCCCATGTCAGTAGGTGTGCATCCCGCTTTTGCTGTTGTGTGACAGAAGCGACCTCCGGGCAATGCCGTCGACGCCCTGACGGAACGACCGGACCCCGGACGCGGTCATGCCCGGCCCGGCTCACCCGGCCTGCAGCGCAACGTGCTGCTGCTACAGGGCCTGGAGACGCACGTCTCGTACCGCAAGGCTTTTGCGGCGTGGACGGTGGCACCGTCGAGCGACGTGACGCGCGACCCTCTGTGTGAACGCGATGCTGGCGTTTTTTTCTCGTGCACCACGGACGGGCTGCCGGACAGCGGACGTGCCGGTCCCGGGTCATCGGGGGGGACGCGGCCCACCGTCGGTGCCGACGCCGCGTTTCAGAGTTGTGCGAGGCCCTGACGACGGCGCGGGTCAGGAACGGTGCGACGGCCGCGGCGCTGGCTCTGTATGAGCGGTCCGTGGTGGCGAGGGTAGAGAGGAGCAGCCACGGCGCCGTGAATTTCTCGGGCGTCGAGCCGCCGGAAGAGCTGCAGCTGATAGCTTTTTAACCGTAAAGGCAATTCTGCAGTGCTGGACAAACGCCGTTTGACAGTATCTGTACGGCGTGTCAACCTCCATCATCCCCATGTAGCGACTTGTACAACCTCAGCTTCATACTACTCAATACCTGAAACCCAATGCATTGAGCAGATACTGTATCGATAACACGTTATCATCTTCTTCGATATTCAGTAGTACAGCACGACAGCATCTGAGATTTCGAGATTTCTGCCGGCACCTCCCCCTTCTGCGCGCCATCCGCCCACATATCATCGCCTCTTTGCGACGAGCTTGGCAAAGGTTTCCTTACACAGCACTACCTCACAATGCGCAAGATGAAGGAGAAACATAACGTGTGCATTGCTATGATTATGGTATCCGATGACTGACCCGCATTCCCGGGGCCCAATGTGTCAAGTTAAACAGTGCTTCTGGCCTTATTTCGACATCCCAAGTGATGAACCTCGGTTGAAAAGAGTGAGTGGTTTCCACATGCTATACAAAAAGGAAAAAGTGTTGGTAAAACTCCTGAGCGCCAATGCGACTAAAAAAGGACAAACCACGGGGCGAAATAGTCCGTGATCAATTTGGCTTGCAGAAAAAGACAAAATTCCCACCCCCCCTATTTGCAACAGGGAACAAACTCCAAGTACCTTTACTGACGGCATGTCCCGCGAGAAATGGCGACGAACCAGCCAGCATCTGATGCTGTCATATCTTCATTAAATTGACGTTTGGCGCTCATGCCCCGTCCTGTGTTTAGGCTAAGGACGCATGAGTATGTGATAGGGGTGTTACAGTATTGGTGGAGTCGTCGGAGCCGAATTCAGATTCGTCATCCTCAGCAATCTCGGACGTGGACGGCTCAGAATCGGAGCTACTGCGTCTGTGCTGGCCGGCTCCTTGCTCGATAGCATCATTGTAGCTCGGCACCGGGGGGTCGTCGGCGGCTGTGCCGAGTGCAGCAGCCGAGTTACCACGGCTACGGTTCATGACTTGAATAAGAGGCGTGTCATCGCTGTCCGTGCTTTGCCGGCGACTGTTTCCATCAATATCGGAGCCAGTGGGACTCGTATAGTCGGGCGGCGGATTTGTGGCGTCTAATAGGTGTAGGTGCAGCGGGTTCTCGTCGTGATGATCTTGCTCCGCCTGTAGCTGCTGGGCAGAGCTGCTGGTTTCACCGCCTTCATCAGTGCGAACGAGCTGGGCGAGGGAAATGTCCGTGGGGCTTCGTACGGGGCCGGGACTGGTGGGAAGAATTCGAAAGTTGCCACTGCGTGTTCGGCCGTGTTGCGCGTTGGCGGGTGAATGGCCTCCGCGGATACTGTAGACCGACCCGCTAAATGAGTGGCCGTGGCGACGTCCCGGGGGCGGAGCGTAACCGTCCTTGTTGCCGGACTCGAGAAGTATACTGCCCTGCTCGGAGCCGTACGGGGGTGGCGGGGCAAGGCTGCCGGTGACGGGAGCCAGACCCCATTTCTTGACGTTGGCTTCGATGAAGACGAAGCCAGACTGGCCGAGATTGACGTGGACTGTGGCCGGGCCGTTGGCACCGACCGCAGGAAAGAAATTCTGCGATTTCAGACCGTGCACGACTTCCTCCAGCTTCTTGCCGTTGCGAGTAAAGAAGATGGCGCCGGTACGGGGTCGGTAACCAACGCCTACGACATCGCCTTGAACGAGACGGGGGCCGTAGGGGATTTGGCTGAAGGGTTGGTTGTAGTGGCGTGAGCCGTTGGAGTGGTAGGCGACCGAGTATTTATGATAGCCTGATGAGTTAGTAAAAGATGCGGTAAGACACGGATGAAGTGGCGTACCTGGCAGCCGAAACAGCGGGTAGGGCTTGGTGGCCATGCCGATACCGAGCAGGGTCGATTCGGGCTTTTCATATATCTTGGCTTCCCAATAGTAGACGTCGTTTTGTTTGGGGACAGGCAAGTTGCACATGACGGTGCATTCAGAATCGTAGAATTCGATTTCCGTGCGGGCTTCGACGAAACAGTTTGCGATTTCGAGCTCGGGCTCGAATTCCCAGGCGGAGACGCCTTTTTCCTGGATGGCGAGATACTGGGAGAGGGAGATGTCGGTCTGAAGGGATTCGGGAGGGTTGGCGGTGACAAAGGCTACGCGAAGTCGACTTTGGTTAGTATTGCCACTGCAGAAACACGCGAGCGGGATATCCATGGTTCTCCATCGAGGCAGGCTTACCTTTTGCTCTCAGATAGTCCGTACGGGCCATCTCATCCATCGTCTGTAGAGCCTCCTCCTCCTCGCGCAGAAAGGCCTGTTCGTCGTCATACTCGCCGGGGCGGCCGAGGCGGTCGAGCAGGATGCGGCCGGAGCCGGCGCAGCCCGAGGCCCAAAAGACGAAGACAACCAAACCAATGAGGAGTATGGAGCCAAAGGACGAGACGAGGCCGATGACGACGCCCGTCAGGGCCGACGAGGGATCTGACATGGTAGCTATGGTGCAGCAGCCGGTGATATTGTTGGGGATGGGGGCTGGGCTGAAGTAGCCGCGCGTGACTGGTTCGACGTAGCAGCAGTCGCAGCAGTCGGTCGGGACCGGCGCGCTTGATGGGCCTGATGCAACAGAGAGCGAGAGTTTCGTATCGAATATCGAAGAGAGTCGATGGCAGCGACACCGCCGCAGCGGGAGTCGAGGGGGGGAATCTGCGAGCGCTGCGGACCGTTTCCTTCGGCTGTGTGGCGGCGGGTGGGTGAGACTCTTCTTCTAGCGGGGAGGGAAGCGACGGGCGGGCGGTGACGAAACAGTCCAGGCAGGATAAAATAAAATAAAAAGTCGCATACGAGAGAGGCCGTGAGAGCAAGGTTGCGGAGCAATGCGATGGTATGCGAAAGATCAAGTGACAAGGAGAAGCGAGGGATGAAGGATGGGACAAGTTGGAAACGGGCAATGACGAAGGGGATTTTGGGTCGATGGTTTGGGAATTGTTTTGGAGGGAGCAGGGAAGCGTCGGAAGTGTCTGGTCTCACTGAGAAGCCAGAGTCCGGTACAAGGCGGCAGGATCGTTAGGCAAGTACCAAGTGGATAGAAAAGCCCGCCGCCAAACATGAGTCGCCTCTCCAAGCTTGAACAGCCTACAGGGCTAGGAAAAAATCCTAGAAATTCGTCTAGACATTTATTAACCGCACTAATAATTTTAGATTTTTTGGACTTTTTAAATCACGCTATGGTGACTTCAATGAGTAGATCGATACCGAGTCGTCCACGCCACTTTCGTTATCAGCCCGGTACCAATATACCTAGTACTATCCAGCAAGACGATCGCAGAAGAGTGGGCTGTCCTGGCGGGCCCAAGTCAAGCATCCAGCAGCCTATTCGCCTGCCATTTACAGTGGCAAGAGGCAAGTGGCAAGTGGCCCGGTGGCTGCAGGGGCGGGGACCACAGTGGCGCCCGCGCTGCAACGCTGCCGCACTGAAACAGGCGGCCAACGCAGTTCGGCAGGTATACAATGATAAGTACGGAGTAGTCTAAGAAGTAACCAAAGAATGCAACGAAAATACCTCTGTCCTGTCTACATTTTTTACAACAATAGTCATTGTCTTTTGCGGCTACGCGCACCATGGCAACAGGTGGTGGCCCACCAGGCCCGCGATCCCCTAAGGCGAGACCTGTCATTCCATCTTGATAATAACGGCCTTTTCAATATTGGCGCCCAAAACGTGACCAAGTCGAGGCCAGGCGGCATCATTTTTTTCGTCCCCGCCTTTCCACCTTCCCAACAAGCTCTGCGCTCAAGAAGAATACCGGTCCTAATTAATACGTCGTAGCTCTGCCTGTGCGTCTCGTGTACTCTCACTGGATGTAGGGCGCGGCAGGATCAAAGAAGAGTTTACTAATTATATTTGCAGTGACACCTACGAGCGGGCTAGTGCATCTGTCAGCGCGTACTCCAGTATACAAGTACACACTCAGTATGGTCACAGTGCGCAGTTTCGCGCCGAGGAATTACTGGTAATACCGCGCGGGGATCTACGGGCATTCAGGGTTGCTCAGACTTCGCGCGCCAGCTTATGAGAGGCAACTCCAGAACACAAATAACAGAATCAAGTCCTACAACCTGTCTCCTACGCACGCGAGCGTACTAACCCCTACGCTGTGTCAGACATAACAGGTACACACAAGGCGAGACACGCCTTATCAATCTTAGGTGCCCGGATGATGGCGGTCATTCCAACCGTCCCGCCTGAGTTGCCAGTTGTCGGAGTCTCAACATGACGACTCAATCAGATGCAGAAACACGGCGTAAGACTAGCTGTGACGCTATGCCCAGCTAGCCATGTGGTATGCGGGACTGCGGTCGAATCGGTCGAATGAGCGCCATGTCGGATGGAACCCTACGCCGTAATATGTATGTAACTTTCGGAATTTGCCTTTGTAGCCGCGCCGCCTCGAAGTGTGTTTGCATACCAGGTAGGGATCGTGGGAGCTAACTACGGCAGTGGGGGCCAAGGTTGAGTGATAGCCTGAATGACGGAGGGCCTTTTTGTCCATCTTACGAATCAGTGTGAGGGAGCTAGAAACCGATAGTGATCGAGACCCCCCTCTCAAGCTAATTAGTGGATGAATCTGTGATAAATATAATTTTTTTAATATGAATCAAGTGGATTTAGATCATCACTTCTCTGACATAGCCTTTGGCTCTCATCGGTGACGCTTGGACGGATGACGGGAACAGGAGCCATTTTGTGACTGGCACGCCTTGGTCGATGCTGGAGATACATAGCTGCACTCGGCAAGTCCAAAACTAGGCCTATCGTGTTTGCTGGGGCAAAGCTACCAAACTCAGTAGGTACTCGGGTTGAATAAAGAAAGCCCCCCTGCGGGGAGCTGTCTTCAATGTACGGCGTCTCCAGGAAGCACAGCTTTCTCGCTTGTTTCTCAAAGACAATGAAGAGCTAACTCCTACTCACCAGCCTCCTCGCCCTGGTTGGCCTTGTCAGCGCCGGCCATAGTCGCGACTCCGGCGATGCCTTCCTACGACAACACATGCCCGAGTTCCAGGCAACGCGCCAGCAGATGAGCCGTCGCGCAGTGGCCACCGCAGAGCCTAATAATAACCAGACCGTCCTACCGCCGCGCTTCCGCAATAACGGAACTGAGAGTAAGCTGGTCCCTTGCCGGAGAGGTCGCCATCGGCACTGGCCCGACGGGTTGCTAACCGGCTTGGCAGAGTTCTACGTCGACGGTAAGAAGGAATTCGAGGCGATTTCTGGATGATATGCTGACGAATTGAGGTAGCCTGGGTTCTCCTCGCTGCTCGACTTTCTCCAAGAGAATGGCCCTATCTCCTGGGGCGAAGGTATGGAAAAGCCCAAGCGCAACCCCTTTAGCTTCCATCTCTTGTCCAACATTGTCTGGCTCGAGCAGCCTGTCGACGTCGGCTTCACCAAGAGCAATGAGACCATCCACAACGAGGATGGCATTCCCAAGCAGTTCATGGGCTTCTAGAAGAACTTTGCCAAGACCTTTGCTCTGGAGGGGTGGAAGGTCTACATTGCCGGTGAGTCGTACGGCGGCATGGAAAGGCCGTACCTCGCCAAGCACATGCTCAAACAAAAGGATACGACCTAGTACGACATGAGCGGCCTACTTATATATACTGGAATCTCATGGGGAGAGGAGCTGCAGTCGTCGCCCGTCGCCTTCCCGTACCTGGACCAGCACTATGGCCTGATGCCCATCGACCATCGACCAGCCCACGTTCGAGAAGCTCCGGAAACTCAACGAATCGTGCGGCTTCGCCGACTCTCGTCGCGAGTACTTTGTGTACCCGCCCAAGGGACAGATCCCCAGCCCGCTGCCACACGCCAAGGTGCATCCCAACGGGAGCTATGTCGACCGCGGCTGCGCCAAGATCTTCGACCACATCTATATCGAGGCGCTGCGCACGAACCCGTGCTTCAACGTTTACAACATTGTAGACCGCTGTCCGGCACGCAACGACCCACTGCCCGGCAAGGACTCGTGGTTCAACCGCCGCGAGGTACAGTCGGCGATTCACGTCCACCCTCATGTCCAGTGGTTCGCAGTGCAAGCAGGTGTTCCCAGACAACGTCGACGACCAGTCAGATCCTGCGGGCGTGCATGTGCTTCCCCAAGTCATCGACCAGTCCGAAAATGTCATCATTGCCGAGGGAACGAGCGACTACCTCTTGTCGCTCAATGGCATATTATTGGGTGTCCAAAACATGACGTGGGGTGGCCAGCTTGGCTTCCAGCAGGCTCCAAGCGATCCCTTTGATGTTCCCGCCTACGGCTTCGACCCCGAGCAGATGTTCAAGGATGACTATGACCCCAACTTTAACGGGCACGAGCTCCCGGCCGGGTACGGCGTCATGGTTCTACCCACCATGAGCGCGGTCTCTCCTTTGTTGTTTCACAGCTTGCCGGGCACGAGGGACCCGAGTACACCCCTACCGCGTCGTTGCGCATCCTGGAGAAGCTTCTCGGCCGCATCGACAGCCTGACCCAGGTGTCCGCGTTTACTCTGCCCCAGATCAGCAACATCACGCAGCCCAAGGGTGAGCTCGGCAACGGCACTGTCAGGATTCCCTGCTAGACTAGAGATTGCTGAGTAAGTGTCGTCTCATGAGTCTCTCGACGTACAATGGTAAGATATTCGGGTTTAAAGCGAAATTAGACTTAGTAGTATAGTTAGATTTGGAATGAATAAAGGTCATGTCTAATGTTTATCGGGGTTGCGGATTATAATGCGGCGTGAACATAGGGCCCATTGACTCACTGACATGAAGCGGCGGACGTTGTTTGCCTCGAGATACAGAGAGCCAGTTTCACAGCTATATTTGCAATAGGCTATTATCTGCCATCTGCGAGTGGGCGATTTTTGAGATGTTGTCTGCAGGATGCAGCCGAGACGGATGCACGCCTGAGAAGAGCCGGAGCCTCGTGCCATGGTCATCTGCCCCATCCGACTCAGCCACGCAAAAGAAGGGCCGGGCCACCAGTTGACGGGAGCTAGGGCTCATGTTTATTACATTTTTCGCTATTGTGCCGTGTATCGTGAAGATGGTCCTCGCTTTTTTTGCTCTCTGCTTGTCTCGAGAATAAATGTCATTTCTGGACTGGTTTAGTGAGCGCCCCTCGTTATGCAGGGAGGCTGAAGCATAACGGGAGAATGCAGAGACATGCTAATATGATGCGTTGTGAATAGTGGAAGCGGTCTGGATTTGAAGGCTGCGTGTGAGGGACGTATCAGGATGTATCAGTATTTGTAGTGCAACTTTGGATGGTGGCATAACAAGGCGGCGAATGGTAGCGCTGATAAGAACATAGGGAACTTTAGTTATGCAGCGACATCTGAGACGAGAAAGAAGGTGCATAACATTCGGCCATGCACAGCATGCGGGCGCCGACAGGTGGGCGTCAAGCCGGCCGAGATGGATGATGATGATGATGGATCAAAACAAAGCGATGGTGATGCTGGTGGAGTCTACTTACAGGCGAATAGAAGTACCTCGTAGGTGTTGTGTTGGTGTGAAGGGTACTTGCAGAGAGGGGCAAGTATAGAGTGGTGGTGCAGCTAAGTGGGGTGGCTGTTCGGAACGTTGACCACTCAAGATTGGCATCTGACCACTGGACTCGGGGTATTCACAGAGGATGGGTGCTATAACTGACACAGATAAGACGGAACAAAGGCAGTCAGTCAGTCCAAGCCACAGGTACCTACTAACCTACCTGTACCTAGCAACTGTAAAGCACTAAAACCACAGGTCCTTGCCCTGCCGAGCTGCACTCAAACCCAACTTCATTGTTTACATGCCCCACTAGCGGGCCCCGTTGGTTACTGCGGCATCCAGCGCCTCGACCTCAGATTCACCAAGCAAGTACCCAGGTACCTCGCACCAAGCTCTCCAACTGGCAAGCTTTCGTCGCATCGCTGCATCACCTGGCGTCAGGACGCTGCGTCCTGTGTCTGCTCTCACCACTCCTGCGCCGCTCCTCCTCCTCCGCCTCCTCCTCCATTCTCACACCTATGATAACCGCTCCTTCTTTTGCTTCTGATACAAGTTTCGCCACCTCCAAATCGATATTTCGACCCAATTCTTTCCTCATCTTGCTGAATCGAACCTTGCACTTACATGCATATCATACCCACCTGCTACGTACACGCCTCCGTTTGTAGATAGCTGCAATTATCGTCTCTCGACTCGGGACTCACCGCCCGCCCAATACTCTCCCTATTGCGGCCCGAGCCTCCTTTTGCGTACATACGCTCGACACAGGGTCCCCGTTCCTCTTTGTGGTCCTATTTTAGGCCTTGCCGCCTTTGACGCTGCCACAAAGAGACGCCTCTGCCATCCGCAGTCTTCTGCCCTGGCCATGTTGAGGTAGCACAGCGTAACACTTTCTGCTCGCCGGATACACCAGCATGCGGCCTTTTTCTTCTACAAGTACGCTCTTGAAACTTGTCTGCCGCCTTCTAGTCGCGTTGCTACTGATTGCAAGCGCATTGCTGCACGCCGCGCGCCAGTATGCTAATGCCACTGCCTTCTGCAGGGAACAATGTCGTCTGAACCGTCGCCGAGCGAAACCGAACGGCCTCCTCCTACGACGCCGCGCAAACCTCGCAATGGCCTACCACCCGAAACACCGCCAGCAAAGATCCGATACAGCCCCGGCGATGCGCCTCATTCCGCCCCTGCCGCCGCTCCGGGAGGCAGGCGCAACGACGCCAAGAAACCGGAGCCGACCCTCTTGTCCGACTTCTTCCATGGAAGGCAGACTGCCACCCGCGTAGCCGCCGAACGAAAACGGCGCCAGAGCGTCGGCGCCGTTAAGGCCGAGCTGCGTGGCACCACTCAACACGAGATAAGACAAAACTCCGTCCGCAAGCTGCAACAACCTGGTGGTGTCCGGGAACGGGTCCATGGCTGGCAGCGCAATCACGGCGCGACCATGGCCAGCTCCAACCCAAACTATGCAGCCACGGAGCCCGACGACGTGGCCTTTGACGGCGAGGATATAGCCAGTGTTACTGAGGAGGACCGTATGCGGATAAAAATGCGTTTACGACCGAACCCACCTGCGCCCAAATTTATGCCCAACACTCCAAATCGAGATGATAAACCTACCTCTTCTGCCAGAGATGATGATGCAGGAGACAACGCCGGATCGCTCTCGCCGCCTAAGAAGCGTGTGGTGAGCGACTCAAACTGGATGCGTCAGAAACCCAAAAAGCCCCCTTCGCGAAAGGTGTCGCCCTCCTCGTCCAAGGAGACTACTCCGCAACGCTCAAAAGCTTTCGTCTTGCACCCTACTCCTAACCCTCCCGTATCTAGCAAGATCAAGGCTTGGGCCGCAAAACTCGAAATGCCTGTCGAATATGAATCTGGTTCCCAGGTTGGCAGTGCCGCGAGCCGCTCGACAAGCCGCTTAAAACCCAAATACAAGCAGTTTGGCGAGGATGACGGGATCCGTGTGACTGGCTCCTCCGATTCCTCAGTGGTTCGAGACGATGGTATTCGAGTCCGTCCCACTACTACTGGCTCCAGCCTTTCTTTCCCGGGACAAACCTACCGTCCACCTACAACCCGTCGGAGCAAGAGTATTGCGGACTCGTCCCGATCGGCACGGAGCATGGAACCAAGCGATATCTCTTTGCCGTCCTCAGAAGGTACCAAGAAGCCTGTCCGTCGACGTAGCAAGAGCATGTCAGCCGACAAAAGGTCCACCGATGATACCCCAGCCAAGATGAGATCGAGGCGACTTGAAGCCCGCAAAAAGACATCTGCTAGGTCATATCTATCCGCAACAACGGGGGAAACGGATGCGTCGTCACAACTTGGCGACGAAGCATCCAACCTGAGCAGCTCGCTGCGACCCGACTCCGATCTAGATTCTAAACTTACTTCAAAGAGCCTTGCCGACATTCCCGGTGACATCCCATTTGGTCACTCTGCTTTCAGTGAGCTGGATCTCTCTGGCAAGTACCGGCCGAAAAAGTTCAACGAGGCCCGCAAGTCAAGCTTCAAGGGAGTTCCTCACGTCTTCAAAAAGGTCGTAGAGGAAGGGAAGAAGATGATGAAAGATATGAACGAGCCACCCCGGCCGCAAGGCCCAAACAAACCCCCAAGCATAGAAAAGTGGCTCAGTACCACGGTCGATCCGTTCATCGACACGCCCAAGGAAGTCCCGGCACCAGCCATCAAGAAACGCCCTTCAGCGGAAGAATCAGTCACCACCGAGAACACTCTTGATTCAAAGACATCAATGTCTTCACCCCAAAAAGATGACCCCGCTACATCATCTGCCGTGCCTAGCTCAAAAGACTTTGCAAGCACCGTCGACGCCTCTGAAAAGCCTGTGCGATCTGAGAGTGTTCGCAGACGGCGAGCACATACCGTAAGAGTGCAAAAACGCCACTCTAAAAGAGATGTTCCATCGGCACAGACGTCAGACGCATGTGCAATCGTTACAGATGAAACGACAACGGAACTGTTGGACGAAAGGAAAGAAGCCAACGACCAGTGCGAAAACACCGCAACAAAAGGAAGCAGCCCCATGGAGCTTAAGAGAACGCGGGCTAAGCGGGCCACGTCCTCGCCCGTGAGAAACAAGAAAGACTTCCTTGACATGTTCAAGAATGCCTTTTTAGGAGAATCTGCATCATTTTCTGGGCCTGGAAAGACATATAGAGCTGAAGAGCCGCAGCGACATCAACTGCATGATCAAGACTACAGTGACGACTACACAGAAGGTTCGGCTTTGTCCAGCCAGGACACCGATTCGCAAGTTACGGGATCTACTGCTAGCGGCCACCACGCATACCCTCCCAAAATGGCTGCCCCTCGACATCCTCCTCCTACCAACGGCAATCATGCATTGTCAACAATTATATCTGAGGACGGGTCCAGTGCCGTAAGTTCGGCTCTGACAGGCTCTGATGCTACATCCCGAGTCACTCAATCTACCAGGACGGAGTCAAGCATCCCGTCCAAGTCTAGCCAATCTTCTCTCAAGAAAAGGCATAGTTCCGCCAAAAGACGAGTGACCAGCCATTCCGATCTAATGTCAGTCTTGTCGCTTCCCGATCAAGCTGCTGTTCCACAAGGCATGAAGAGCAGGTCGCGTCCCAGTCTTCGCCGAAAGCAGGGCGTCCCAGCCGGCTTCTCTGAATACGAACTGTTACAAGAATTCGAAGACGATGAAAATCTTTATAATCGGGAGCTCAAGACCTTGGTCGACGGCGTCATCCCCGTTCTTTTGGGTGACGTCGTCCACAATAGTGACGCAACTACTCTCTTCTCTACCGGCGGCGGTAGCCAAGCTGATGCGATCTCCAAGGCTGTTGTGGGTATGGGTGTTGCGCTTGAAAAGCTGAAGAATGCTCATAAGAAGGCGCCACACCATGATATTCGTCGTCTAGCCCACTGGGCGCATGGCGTTGTGCCTATGTACAACAGCTATCTCACCGCATGGAGACTTGGCTTTCAAGATTTGGTCGTGAATCTCGTCCCGGCTGCTGGGCAGGCCGGGGACGAGGACTCATTGTTGGATGCACTCCCAAGAAACGAGCACGGTGATATTGTCAATGAAAACGGAGAAAGAGTCGCTGTCGGTTATCTGCTGAAACGACCTTTGCTTCGCATTAAACACATGACAAAGCTCATCAAATGCATCGACAGTATCATCAACAGTCAAGACACAAATCAGCTCTTGCGTGATTTCGAAAGTCTTCAGGAGAAATCTCGACGCCGCCATCGTGAGGAGACTGCGCGCATCGAAGATGAGGATGCTATCAATACCGATGTCACCAGATGCCGAGACATCAGGACTCTTGGAGCTGTCTCGCCCCCAGTCATCAATGCCAACTTGCAAGTCAATGCTAAGGACACATTCTCTCTATCCTTTACCCACTCCAACGGACAGCGTTTGCAGTGCCGGGTCGAGCTTGTCTATCGTGATAACCCACTACAGCCCAAACAACCGGGCGACCTGCTCATTCGCGAACCGGGCAACGGCAAAGAGGGTAGAAAGTCGTACCTCCTGTTCCCCCCAATTCAAATGCACCTGTGCTCTGCCAGAACTGGTGAAGGCTATTTTGACATGGTCATAATGCTTCGAGGTACTCACCAGAATCGCCCATGGCACGAGCTGCTGTTCTTGACGGCGGATGACGAAGATCAAATACTCGACTGGCTAGACCTTCTCCCCCTGAACCCAATTCCTCCACGAGAGCCAGAGCCGAGCGTTGTCGGTGATGGTGAGCCAGACAATCTCAGCGACGTGCCAGTGGGCGTTGCCAGACCAGTTCCTCCGCACGAGCACAACTTCCCCAAGGCTACTGTTGCCTCCAGACCACAATCGCCCCTCATCGAGACAATCCAAGACCCTCGAACGCCCGCCAAACAACAAGTCCATGTCGCCCACGACGACGTTCAGTCTTCGCCGACACCGGAACGTGATAACAACAAGGCGTCAATTCAGCCAACATACAATGTCGTGGACTGGGATGAGAGCAACTTCCAAGAAGGGGATAATTTACTTCCTCAGCCTCTCAAGATCAAGAAAACCTCTCCTCCGAGAACATCGCGAGAGGATAGAGCTCCTCCGCCTCCAGCTCATCGCAGTCTCCCATCCACACCAGACCAACATCAGAAGGATTCCAACATGCTTGCGCCCCCAGAGCCAACTGAAAGGGTCAAGCGGCGTAGATCTTCGCCGCTCAAACACGAATATCTACCCTCAAGTGCTTCTTCTGGTGGATCGACTAGCGCCAGTCCTGAGCAGTCGGACGATGAATCTACCGACGATGATGATGATCTCGATAGTATGGATATACCAGAGACTGAGCTTGGTGTAAGCATCGCCAAGGAAGCGCATCAATCCCAAGCTACACCGCCGAAAATCACCAGCGTACTATCCCAGTCAGATTGCAGTCTTACACCATCCAACTCGGCCTCACAAGCCTGCGGAGTTTACCCGCCACGCAGCAGTACTGAACAAGAAAGCACGACACGCTACATGGCATCGCTCTCCAAATGGTCTGACAAGGGGGCTTGGAAGGATGTAAGCCACCATCAATGTGTCATTATTGTCTCTGCTGGCTTGGTAGAGGCCTATGCTTTCCGTCCGAGCAGCGGTCAAGGCAAATCCATCAAACTAGACGAGCAGCCACTGATTGCATTGGATCTGACACCGCTTGTGCTTATCAGACAAAGCACTGCTTTGGATCTGGAAATCAGGTCCTCCGTTCAAATGCACTCGCGCCTATATGAGAAGTGCAACGGTGGCAATTTCCGTTTCCGGTGCCACAGCGCCCCAGAGTGCTTCGCGCTGTACATGGCCGTCCACCAAGCGCGACTTAGCAATCAAAAATTCATTCAGTTGGAGAATGAAGCGCGCTTCAGGGGATTTGGAGAGAGACGTGAGACCGAGGAAGATGACCGAGCTGGGCGACGCCGTAGCTGGTTCGGTCGCAAGAACAGCTATCGCAGCTCACCAAAAAGCGCAGCTCGCTCTCAGGACGGCGAGAGCGCCGCGCATTCGTCAACACCCTCTGCAACTAGCTTTCTCAAGCGCCTCACTCAATCTGGTAATGCTGCTTTTCACCTTGAAAATTCTTCTATCGACCGACAGAGCCACGGTGGCAGCGGCCGAAATAGCCTCTACACATCTGGGTCATCTTCAGCGAGTGGTGGCGCGTCGCCCCGCTCACCATCCGTCAGTACTGGTAATACGCCAGGACATCGGGGCCTGATGGATGCTGAAAACATCAGAGTTCGACTGCACCTTCTCGTTTCGTCTACGAAATGGGAAGATTGCGGAAACTGCACTCTCAAAATTCGCAGACCACCGCCTGGTTGGCGCCAAGCCCTGCTTGCCGACAACGGACTCGAAAAGCGCATAACTGTCGAATCCCAATCAAAGAAGGATACAGAAGAGCCCAAGGTACTGCTCGATGCAGTCTTGGGAAGCGGTTGCTTCTCTGCCATGGGGAGTCGCGGCATCGTCTGCGGCATCTGGGAAGAGGTCCAGGGAGCCGACGGTATTGTTGGCATGGTCCCTGCCAAGGCCAACCCTGGTGGCAAGATTAAGAAGTGGTGCTTCCAGCTGTCCACAGCTGCAGAAGCCAACTGGGTGCTGCGGATGGTGCACCAAGAAGTCGTGCGCGCATAATACGCTCACAAGTGCCACAGCGACGTTTCTTTCTTTCAGTTGGCGTTTTACTTTGCTATTCTTAGTCGTTGGCCTGCGCTATGATATCCTGCACATATTTCTTTTATTCTGGTTCTTATTTGTTTTTTGTATCGAGGCGAAAATTGCGTCATGGGTTGACGTCAATGTTGTTCAATATACATGTGGTTCATATGGGAGGTAATTTGGACGTTGCGATGTCTTTGTTTTGGCGTGTGTGGATGGTACTGGAAAAGGGATGACGCCGGTTTGTATATCTTAGATATGGGGAGTCTGTGGTGCAGATTATGTATAGAGACGGGATGAAGTCTTGCAATAATAAGATGTATCTATTCAAACTTGACTCTGCATGCTTGTACGTATGTGAATGGCGTATGGCGCCCCGAAAGAGCCATTACCTACCCTGTACCTCCAGCTTTCTTAGCCAAATCCAAGCAGACTACCCTATACCTTCAGCTCGTATTTTTGTTCTATCCCGAAATGACTGTCTTTTCAATGACATTCGCCGTTGTCTCAACACGAGGATCGGCAGCCGGCCGAATGCCCCGCCCCCACCATCCCACCTTCTCCGTGCTGCCCCTCGTTCCCCATTCCCCATCGCATTTGTCTCACAAACGACCAAACCAGACGCGGACAATAACAACCCAACCCGTTCCCACCGGCTCGCTCCCGCTCTTCCTCCCACCAAAATGGCGCCTCTACCGCTCGAAGTCGCCGTCTTCTCCGCCGCCGACGCCCTCACCGCGCAATCCCTCGGCGCCGCGCGCATCGAGCTCAACGCCGCCGCCAGCTACCCCTGCGGCGGCCTGACGCCCTCCCTCTCCTCGCTCTCGCAGCTCTCCTCGCTGCGCGTCCCGGTGCGCGTCATGATCCGTCCGCGCGGGCCGCCCCCCACCACCACCGGCGCCGCCGACTTCATCTACACCGCCGCCGAAGCCGCCGCCATGCGCGCCGCCATCGCCGCCCTCAAGCCCGCGCTGGACCCCGCCCGCGGCGACGGCTTCGTGTTTGGCGCGCTGACGCCCACAGCGGCGGTGGACGCGGACACGTGCCGCGATCTGGTGGCGTGCGCGCGGCCGCTCC